AGCAATCAGTTTATACAAATACTGTATCACACATGTCCCTGGCCCCTAGCCTGTTAGATGAGTGAAAGATAATGTAGAAGGAAAGCACAGATGGAAGGGAGAGAGCAAGTCTATAAAGCTCCAAAAGCTTCATCAGGCTGATGTTTTAACATGGGGTGTAATGTGAATTTTGAAGCTGATGAATAGCCTGTAAATGGGGCATGGTGTACAGCTACAGGGATGCCTGCTTCCCCTGTGAGCTGGGTGAAGGTGTGCTGAGGTGCCCATGTTTGTCCTCTTGAGAGAAGCTGAATAGGCCAGTGGACACAGATAGATAGGGAAGGGAAACTGGGACGTCAGGAAGAAAAAGGCTACAGACAATGAAGGGAAGATTTATGATCATATTTATCCATAATATATGCAATATATTATATAAATATAAAACATATAAAATATATATAAAATATGCAAGGAAAAAAGAAGGAAAAACAGATTAACAGATTCTTTGACTTTTTATTTTTTATTTTTAACATTAAAGCATTTTCAGGTATGAAAATAACAACCTTCTCACACAGACTGAGGAAGAACTGTAAGCTTTATTTTCAAACAGCTTTGGATTTTCTTAGTAAACTATTCTCCCAGCCCTGCTTGCAATGTAATTACTGTCTATCCAGCAATAACAGAAATGAGAATGTCTTGGACAATGTCTTTTTCCTCCAGAGACAGTGTGAAATGGTGTTCAGAAAGGTACAGAATTGTAATGGACTTACAGGGAAAAAAAATCACATAGTAATCAAGTGTGGAGGTTAGAGGGGAAAAAAAAAACCAACACCCCAAACCTTGATTAGAATTTATATAAAACTGCCTGGAATGTATCCGACCTATAAATAAACCTGGAGGAAAAAGATTTAAACGGTTGTTAGTAAGCAAAAAGCCAGTAGATGGCAAGAGAGACCTTGAGATTCAACATAAAGCTCAGACGGCTGCTAATAGCTACTCCCTTCTGCAATTTTCTGTGGTATCTTTGGTTTTAGCCCTAACTACTTTATTTGCTATATTCCTGAGGTTCCTTATTCATCAGCTGCACTTAGATCCACACAGTACATTTATTTTTAGGGACAACTAAACTTCATTTAATAACTCATTCAAACATGCTGAGTAAAAGCCTGGCTCTGTTGAGGTTAAGCATTGGCTTCAGTTGGGTTAGAATTGTACACGTTATTTTTTTTTTAATGCTCATGCTGCGGAGCAAGCATTTCATTTCCAGAAGGGGTCTGATATTAAGGGTTTTGTTCTTTCCTATCACACTGCAGCTTCTTTCTCCAGAGCAGAATGACCATGCTTTCCTAAGAGTCTCTGTCATTTAAAATTAAAGAATCAAAAGGGCCAGGTCTGATGGACAAAAGGTTTGTTGTCTTTGTCTAGGATACAAAAGACTGTGTCTCCAATAGCTTTTTGCCTATCCCGCTGTAATATCAGGATCCAATTCTAGGCTTTTATGAATAATAATCCACTCAGGTTTAACCAAAGCTGACCATGAACAAATTAAGTATGTTGTTTTGATTTTTTCCAAATGTATAGTTATTTTACAGTTGGATGAATCTGAAAATGAAAACCTTCAACTTAGCAATAAAATATACTCACATGGTTAGGAGATCTAGTGGAAAAATTTGCTTTTCATCTCTAGAATCACGGAAGAACTTGCAAAAAACATATGGGACTTTAAACTCGTAAGCATTTCTGACTCCCAAGTAGGTAAGTAGTCATATCATTCTGATGTGGAAAATGAGGCACAGAAATCCCCAGCCTTATGCAAAATCGCATTACAGGGTTACAAAGGCAGAATTAGGACTCAAACCTGGCCTGTGCTTAGGCCTGCATCTTTTTTTTGACACTCATTTTTTTAAACAATACTGGAGTACTGTAATTGCAAGGTCATATTCCTTGATTACTACAGTTAAGTCCAGAGTTCATTAATTCATATCATTGAGAAGCACTAGGAATGAAAAATAGACTGCATAAAAACTAAGACTATGAAGTACACATTTTAATACTTGGTAGGCTATATAACTTTGGTTTGCTTTATAGGATAGGACAGGCATGATTTCCAAATGAGGTTTAAATCTGGACTGCAGATATCCTCCCAGATGGATTGAAAATATCTATGTGGTGCACTAGAAACTCCAGAAGGGCTTTTTCACACTTGTACTGCTAATGCACTTAAGTCCTTTGGCAAAACGAGGTGGTTCTAAGTCTTTTGCTCTGCCATGCCCACTGCCAAACTCACACTTTACTAACTTTTGTTATATTTGAATTTTACAGCTGCAACAAAAAGTGGTCTTTCAGTCAGTCAAAGGCACTCAGCATTCAGCAGAGGGCACTAAAGAAAAGAAACTGCACAGAAATGAAAGCTGCCCCTTCCAAATGTAGATAACGCGAGCTGTGTCTCAGCCATGCCCTGCACAGACCAGTGAAGGAAGCGTGCCTGGATTTTGTTAGCCACTGCTTTCCTCTTTGTCTGAGCCTGCATCCCAGCCTGGGCTGTGTTACTGGTAGGGTGATTGTGAGTGAATTCCCTGGCTGTGCTCTGATGCTGTGGGGCATTTTCTCCTTTCTTTCCTTGTGTCTGGGACAATGTGTCAACTAGGAGTTTCTTTAGGACTTCTGGGCTCAAGCAGTCCCATACAGAGTCTTGCTGTTGGGACCTTTATTGCCTGTGAACACCACAGCCAGTGGAAAGTGCTAACAGAGGAGCATGTGTTGGGGGAAAGGCAAACATCTGTGATTTAACATGGGCGGGATACCTTTTTCAAGGCATGCCAATTTAGCAGTAAGAAAGAGACACCTAGCTATTCTGGTGGCTCCCTTTAGCTGTGGCACTGGAGGTGCCTTCTTGCTGCAGGATCCAAAGTAGGGCTTCATCAGGGACAGCCCTGACGTGCCATATTTATTGCTTTTTAATGCTGTACGGTATGTATCATTATATATCGGCATTGTAGAATAAACTAATTTAAGACTGCTGATCAGTGTTTGCCTTCAAGTTCTTTTCCAATGACTGTAACAGTCTGTAATTTTTTTCTAGGAGAAGGCATTTGCCTTTATGAGTTGCTTGTATTTTTTGTACTGTACATCCTAGCTTGATCATTGTTAATTAGTGTCATGCTTCTGCTTCCGTGTAGATGACTGTGTTTTACTACAAGCTGTATTACTTCTCTTACTAATGGCTCTTTGCTGTTACTAAATTCTTGTTCGAGTAGTTGAGCATGAAAGTTCATTTTTCTTCTCTCACTATATCTCTTCTCTACCTTTGTCTTATTTGAAGTGGTTGACTGGCAAAAGTTTTTGTAAACAAGAGGATTAAAGGAGAAGGTGTTGGATTAAAGATGACAGTCCAATCCTATGTATGTCAATGCGTATCTCCCATAAGACACAGTGAAAACAATACTCCAGAAAAGGGCTCTCCAGGTGTAATATAAGTGTGATTTTAAAGGAAAGTGTAATGCAATATTCTTCAACTCTTCTCTTGTTTGGGACTGCCTTTTTGGCAGTGTAGCAATTCTGATGAGTCAGCAAAACATCTTTTTTACAGGGAACTTGTGGATGCTTTATTACAAATAAAAACAGTGCAAGAATTCATGTTAGTCTTAGTTTGAACATAGTTGCATGGAAAAAGCTGTTGAATAGAACACTGGCTATCTGCATATAGACCCAGTACACAAGAACGGTTCCCGAATACAACACATAGACTAAATTAAGGCTGGGGTGACCCCCTTTTAAAGTTTGTTATACTCAGGAGAGAGGTTTAAGGGCACCACGCATCAGGGCTTACCCCACTGAGCCCTGGTTTGAAAAAACTCCTAATGGTTTACTTTATTCCAGAAATAATGAAGTAAGTAAGTAAGTAAATGCAGTACATTGAGAAAAACTGGGTCTTAAAGTTTGTGGTAAGCTGCAACTTGAGAGGAAGGAGTATGATACGTTACTCATATCTCTGCTCTGGGAAATAAAAAAGCACTGAGAAATTTTGTTCTGTAATTGTTCAGTTATTTAGTCTTCAATCGTCTTTCTGATAGCTCAGTTTTAGTTATAAAGAAAAGTATTTTCTTTAATGACAGTTTCCTGACAGCATTTGGGCTCAGCAGTGCCTTGCCCATGCTAAGGCTTCTCTTGGAAGAGCATGCTTGCTGCTATTCCCTGTAGTGGAAACCTATCATGGCTCACTGCACAGCTGTTTTGTGTACAAGGTAAAGAGATATTGTGCCATTGTTTGGGGTTAGAAGGTGACACCTATTCCTGGCCTCCTGGGGTGGGAGGGAATTGCCTTTCTGCATAGGCCTAGTGAAAGCTAGCAGATTGACACTTTGCTGGTTAAACACAGTCTAACTGTCCTGCTTGTACTTTATTTTAGCTTTATGATGTTATTGATCTTACATATTTTTCTTAGTATCACTTTTTTTAAGAGAATTCAGGGTGCTACCTGACGTATTATTGTTCCCTGATTTTTTTAAAGGCATCATTTTCATAGGTATACAATAGGAGATGGTAAACAACAAAAAAAGTTCCTATTCATGCTTTTAGCTCATGAAGCAACAGCACATCCATTGAAATTTAAATGAAAATGGGGAATGTGTCACACACTATAGCTCTCTGGAAAGCTACAGTGGGAGTCTAGCAGTCCAATCATTCCTTTGTAGAATGTACTAAAGCTAATGGTCTTGCTGGGAGTAAAATGTATTTTTTTGCAGAACAGTTCCAAGAACAGACTTTGCTCTTTACCAGAAAACATAAAAGAAAACAAATGCTTACTGTGTCTTTAGTATGCTAAATATGAAATTGTTTGTACAATGGAATGTTAGCAGTAGCCGTAATCATGTTTTCCTTTCATCACCTAGTGAACGTAATTTTAAGAGAGGACTGCTGTAATTATATTGCAGATAAAAGGAAGCAGAATTTCTGGATAATATTATAGTTGGTCTGATTGCTTTGTTGATAGGGAAAAATAAAGAGATGGACCACATGAATACTTATTTAATGAACAACATATTTATTAAGCAGTGCAGACTGTACATAATGCATTTGACTTTGGATGCAATGCAGTAGGCTTATTTTCTGTAAGCACCTTTCTTAATATTTTACTACAGCTATTATGTTCCCTTCTTATCTGCCCAGCTATTCAATTATTTGTATAGTATGTCTATAGCATAACCCTGAAGCTTTTAGCTTAACTACAGGAGCCGGTACAGGTACAATCAATGTCAGCATCCACAGACTCCACAACATCCTCAGATGCAGATTTCTTATCGCTGCTTCTCTGCCATTCCAGCAGGCTTACAGCGGTATCTGTCAGAAGAGTGAAGCCATTGTTAACTAACATCAAGCAAATTAACACATTTCAAGGAAATACTGTTTTGATGGCTGCCAACTCCCTCATCAACCAAAGAATGAAATCCTGCCCCCACAACTGACATCTAACTGACTTACTGACTTGGAGCAGGATTTTCATCCATGACATAATTACTATAATACTTCCCTAAACCCAAAATGAATAACATTTCACAAAGCACAAAGACAACAGGCAGGAGGCTGTAAAAGTGATGGAGGTAGCCACTGCAGATGTAAGACCACCACACAGCAATATACATCAGCAATCTCTTTTTATGTTTGTGCTGCATAACACTGCGTATTTCAGCTGACTGTCAAAGTTCATTCTGAAGGATAAGCCCTTTGGAGAATTTTCAGAGGTTCATAAACTTCTAATTAAAGTTTCCCATATATTGTGAAATCTGGCAGAGCATTGTCAGTTGCAGTATTAACCTTACCACACTGCTTTATCAACAGCAGCTTGAATAAGCCATATCCCTTAATGCTGAAATAATCTAAATGGAATAATGATATTCATCCTCCCAATAAATATTCTTAGCTAGTTGGAGGTTTATCATTGCATCTGGAAGAATATTAGGACATCCATTTAGATTAAGTTTGTATAATGAGAATCGGTAAAGCTTTCATAATTTTCCCTCCATTTGTTTTATCCCTTAGTTGGACAGTACATTTATAACATGCCACCTCTCATCACAGGAAAATCTGGAGACTGCTGCATGGGTTCAGTCACTTACGTCCTGAAATGGTAATACTCTCCTTGGCTAAATTACTGCCCAACCTGAAGCACAGGTTTTGCATAGAAAAAATGGATAATAAATGTTTTCCAGAAAGGTGCTGGAGATTCTTTTAACAAATATATAATATTTTCAAGCTGTGAAATGAGAAATACTATGGAACGCCTGATTTATGTTTTTTTTTTAATGTACATTAATTCTTTTTATGTTTCTTACTCTTGGGCACACTGTGGGTCTGATCACATTCATATCCATGTAGGAAATAGTTCCCTGGGCAAACAGGCTGAGTAACGACTCTCCCTATGGGTAGGGTTTGTTGCATGTTTGAAATGTAAACTAATATGTGGACTTAAGTTTGGATTGATGTCTGCCTCAGTCAAGATCCTAAGACTACAGTCTCACTGATTTGAGGACAACGGGAAATTCTGCATCCTTGTACTTCATTTTATCCTTGCTCCACTGGTGACAGTGATGGGGTCTCTCTCTTTTGAAATGCAGACTAGCAGGTCTGAGTTCTCATACAAATTGCTAAGAAAAGGTCTTTGTGCAGTGTATGAAAATACATGTTCTCAGCTTGAGAAAGATAAGGATTTTGTTTCTTCTACTTCTCCAAGTTATCAAAGAAAGAAAGGAAAAGTTTTTAAGGTCTGGTGTTGTATCCCTGTTGATCTTTAGCCTGAGAAAAAGCAATGACCTTGCTAAAAAAACCACAAATGGTGCCTTTTCCCTTCCTCCTTCTCCTTTTCCCTCTACTCCTCTCCCTTCTGCTCAGGTTAAATAAAAAAAACCAAAAAACTCTTGATTAGAAGTGCTGCTAGCAGACTTCCCAGTCTCTGGTTCAGTAAATGAAGCAGTGAAGGCTGCAGTTGATGTTAAAACAACACTGGCTCTGACAACTAATAAATCTTTTTTTGTTTTCTGTTTTTTTTTTTCCTGATTTTCCTCTTTTCTCAAACATTTCTGTGAGAGAATGAGACAGCTTTATTATAGCCAAATATTCTGAGGCAGTGAGTGCCCTGGGGTAACAACATTTCAGAGATACAGACGTGGATACACAAAAGAAATCTGTGGAACATGAATATGACGAGACTTTGGAAGTTGTTTTTTTTTTGTTGAGGGTGGGTTTTTCTTTTCATAAAAGGATGCATAAATTCACATCTCAAGGAGCTGTCATAAAACTATTAGCAGTCTGTGCTACTTGTTGAATAGGTTGTTGTAGATGGTTGACTATTCTAGAAACATATTCATTACTTTATGGGCTGATTCAGCACATATTGCAGATATTAATAACGTGAGAAAAGTGAGAAGTTCTACACAGCTGTTGTTTAAAATCAGACACAAAATATTCTGTTCCTCTCCACTATTACTCAACAGAGGGATTCACTGACTTCAGAAAATCCACACTGGATTATCCCAGCCAACAATTGATTTGGCCAACAATGGTTAACACAGAGAAGAGACCACATCATTAGATACTCCCTAATGGTAGGCTTCCCTCTAAGGTATACATGTACTGTGTAATTCACTAAAAGATTGAGGAAGGAAATATCTGTTCCAGGCTGGATTCTCCTCTCATGCTTATATAACTTCAGTGTGAATCTGAGTTAGACAATGCATCGTATCCGTAGCAAATTGGTATAAGTGAAAGGGGAAAAAGAACTAGTATTTTTAAAAATCTGGGGCATGAGTGTGTGTGTGTAAAATATGTTCAAAACCAGACTGCTTTTTGGAACAATCTAGAGAACATTTCAGCAATGTGTTTTTTGCTGATGTATTGCACAGTGGCATAGCATGGCAGCCTAATCACAGCAGTCATGTCACACTACTTCACTGACTTTCAATTGCCTTGCTTGCCCTGGTCTACACACAATTGCAGGCTGTAATGTACATAAAAGGACTCAGTGTTCCTTATCTTAACTTTATGGAGATCCTGAAAATGTGAAAAAAAATGTATTGATCACAGCTGCCCCTTTTTCCACCTAAAATGTTTTTCTCAGATGATGCTACCTGCCATCATCTAAACTAGCTTTTAGCTGGCCAGTACTGTCAGTGGTTATAGCAAATACTAATGGGATTAAAAACAACAGCTCAGAGAGGAGCCGAAGCAATACAGGTCTGTGCGTGGCTGTGCTGTGTTTTGTTCTTTTGAATGCTCTGACAGATCTCCTACAGTACATGACACACAGAGAGAAAAATATCGTACCTTTTCGGAAGCAGTGGAAGCCAACCTTAACTGAAGTTTTTTTGATTGGAGTACAGTCTTTCATACATCTCAGTACTGGGTCAACAGAGTAGCACATAGATTCCTCTCCATCAATAGTAGGATTTCGATTCAGCTTCACATAACTGCGCTGCAGCTTGCACCCTAAGAGAAAAAGGAAAGGTAGTTAAAATTGTAGAAATAAATCCCAATCGATCCTTACAGTAATAAAGGTCCATATTTTCTCTTCAGCTTTTATTAAAACACAGATGTCTGACAAACCGTTTTCACAGTAGTGAGGTTATCGAGATAGGGTGATAATAAGTTGGGGGATAGAAGACAGACTCTGAAAGGGGAGCTATTTTTAATATCTAATTGCACAATATAACCCAGATGGAATCATGTATACCCAGTTTTTTAGAACTACATAATACACAGAAAATAACCTCTCATGTCTGAAAGTTATTAAGAAGAGATATTGCAAGCACAATGGCTACTTCATTGCATTAGGAAAAATGTCAACTGTAGTGAATGGATTAAAAAAAAAAAGCAGCATCTATATAATAACATCAAGGATAATTTTTGTATTGGATGATTTTTATAATGCTGCAATTATCTCACTAGAAAGGTATAATGTAACTTAACAGGATCCCAGACATAACTCTGTTTCATGGCACACAGATAAGTACAATTCTGCTGCCACTGAAGTCAAGGAGAAAACAACCATTAACTTCAATGAGGTTATCTCAGGTCCCAGGTAAATGCAGACCTCCAGAACAAAACTGTACTGATGTTATGGAAGGCCATCATTAGTTGTCCAGTTATATGTGAGAGTAAACTCTGTTACAGTAACAGTATTTCTAAATATTTCTCTGAGATCACACCCTCTGATGGTGCAGAGCAAAAGTGAAATTTTGTGCACTCTGAACATATACATAAACTTCAGATCTGACACTACATTCATAGTATGCAACTGGTTTGTTCAAATTAAGTCTGCAGACAACAGCTGAAACTGCTTTGATTCAGTGGTGAAAATCACACTTCTTTCAATAGGAGCAAGATTAGGCCTGATTTTGCCTCTCCAAGAAAAAAGCTACTCTGTAAGAAATTACAGTAGAATCAATTATTTAACATTGAACTCTTCAAGAGACAAAGACTTTTGCTGTATTATGTATTCTCTATATTCATGGGTAGTGTTTTAATCAGACAGTAGTTAATGAAGTTAAAACGGATATATATTACTATTGTCTTTTCTTACTAAAAAAGATATCTGCTACTTTTTAAAAAAAAATGTTTTCTAGCTATTGGCAGAGGAAAAGTGGAATTGTTTTCTCTGGAAACATAAAGTGTTTTCAGTTCTACTCACCACCAGAGCAGGATTCTTCTAGCAATACCCATGAATGAACAAATGTAGAACAGCTGTGTGCCAGCTTACGATTTGGCATTAGGAGTTCGTTGTGTTTTTCTCTGTCATTATTTCCACAGATTCCGCAGGTCTTTCCTCTCATCCATGAAGCAACAGTAACCTATAAAACAGCACATCTTTGTAGTGAATACTGAAGTGTTGGTCTGTTACACTGCCAAGGTACTAAACTGAAAGAAAGTAGTAACCTTGAAAGTAAGCCAAATACCTTAAGGATCACACCATCAAAAGTCACTTTCTTCAGCCCATGTGTTGGAGCTTCCACGCTAACTGTTGTCTCATTTTTTGAAATTTTAACATTGTCTGTAAAAAGATAGTGAATCATAAGGTGATCTGTTTAATTTCAGATTAATGGAGAAACTGAGCACAAATTACACCCTAATGCATTTCCTTCACGATGATAATTTTGCTGCTACAGTGGGATTTTTTTTTGAGAGAAAGCAAAAATAAGATAAATTATCTCTTTATGTGTAAAAATATTCTACTGCTGTTACCTATAGTTGAATCTGACTTTTGTATCTAGTCTGCTAAATCTCGAAATGATAATGACATTGCTGGTGCTCCAGCTAAGTATCTGAAACAAAGCATCTAACTGTGATGTTTTTTTCTAACCAACCACCAACCTGGACATACCACATGAATAAGAAGGGGCTTTATTTACCTGCCAGCTGTGGTGGAGTGAGGTAAAAGTGTATATACTGTAGGAAACAGGAATGTAAGCCAGTACAAATCTTAAGAAAGTCAAGCCTAGATTTTATTTTCTTTAATCCCACTTGTATTTTCCTTACGCTGAGATATTTCTGTGGAATTTGTAAAAAACATCTTTAACATATTTAGCTTCTGGGTACGTTAAGTCCTGCAAAAGTGAGTATCACAGCTTACATTTTTCATACTTGGAAACTCCACTGCGTGATAGAACTGGTTCTTCATTGCATGTCACAAGAAGAGATGAATTTGCAGCAGGATAGATTGCGATGTTCCTTCAGAGAAATAAAAATAAATTAAAAAAAAACCAAACAAACCCACAAACCAAAACAAAAAACTAGTGGTTAATTTAAAATATGAAAAATAGAGATATGTGTGACCAAAGCTAGCAGAGAATCAACTTGAGTATCTGATCTTTGAATGAAAATTCAGTAGAACTTTGGGTTTTGAGATTCAACCTTTAAAGAAAAGACAGCATGGGGACATAATAAGCACATTATCAGATAATGGCATCTGTGAAATAGAAGACAAGAGCAACTAAACAAAAAGTCTCAGATGAGTATTCCTTCTGGAAATCCTGTTTTTCCCCAAATATCTAATTGCAAACCAGTTTTACCTAGGAGCTACAGGTTTCCCACCCCCAGACTAACTCCCTAAAACTTTATACCTCATTTCTGAGCCCTGAGTATAAATCACACTTACGCTGAGGATGTATTTATGTGAACCTCTCTTGAGAAAGACTGAGGATCAACATTTCTCGTAGTAATAATGAATTTTGGGCGCTCAGTACAGTCTTGGGACGCTATCAGGTTGCAGCTTTTATTGAAAGAATATGTATGGCTCACATGGTCGAATGTTTTGAAATCTCCTTCTCTGACTTCACATGTGGCTGTAAAACAAAGCCAGAAAAGAAACTGCAGATGTGACAGTGGTGTATGTGTTGCTTCAAAGTATTGAAAGCCACCTCTATGAAACTGAAATACCCAGCAACGGGAAAGAAACTTCATCATTTCCTTGGCAGGAACTTTCAGTGCTGCCAGAGTGTGTAAGGACAGGATAGCACTGCAGAATAATGACCAGATACAGATATACTTGTACTGATTTTCATTACATGCTTAAATTCACAAAACCATGAAATTCAAGGTAACAGGAACTAAATCATAGCAAATTCTTGACAAACTAGAAATCATAACTAAATATGACAAAAATTAGTTCATAGTTCCCACAGAAGTGTTAGGCACCTACCAGCTAGAGACTCATATGACTCCTTTTTGAAAAAAATAGAGGGCAGAAAATACATGATCTGTCCTGTACCATCACCTCTCAATGCAGAGATGGCACCTTCTTAAAGGGGCAAAAAGAGAATCCCTTGCCCTCGAAGACAGGAGTGATTCGTGAACTCTGAATACTTATATCAGTTTGGAGTCTCTTCATACATCTGCCAACAAACTTACTTCTAAGTGAAGGAATGAGCTATTGAGAAAGCAGAGATGCCATGCTTCCCTGTAAGACCACTACAAGGAAAGGCAAGGCCCTGTCATGGCAGAGGGTGGATCTACAAACATTGCTTATTCATGAGACAAGCATATAAATAATATTTACATTGATCTTCTTGTGCTATTTGTGAAGCTATTTCAGGAAAGAAATTCCAGGCAGTGATATCTCGAGTCTCATAAGTTGGAGATGGGCCTAAGGGCAGAGTGAATGGCATTCGGAGTGCCTGATAGTAAAGTGTTACCTGAAAAAGCAGAAATAAAAATACATCAAGATAAATTGAACCATATTGCTCAGGATATGACTGCAAACAAATAAGTCTCTTATCTTGAAAAAAACATCTTGAAGATGCATGTATACAATTGCACTTGTGCTAGTCTCACTAGGATGCACCCAAACCTGTGTTTTGTGAGGAACCATTGTCTTCTGTTCTAGTCATACTTTTAGAGAAATTGCTAAGGACATTGGAAAGTAACAGATATAGATGAAATTTAAGTGATATTGAATTGACTTCTTAAAAAATAAGGTATCAAATTAAGTAACTGAATAAGTTGATGGATGTGTCTGGAAAAGTGAACAGCATCTATTACAGGCTGAAAATTGGCATGATGAGCAGGCGAGTGTTGGGGTAAGATCCCTCACTGTAGCTGCAAGTCACATTTACCAAAACAAGCAAATTAATGCCTACTGTGCCTGTGTCTTCATTATCATATATTAAAGATCCTGTAACACTAAACCACCATGGAAGGTTAAAGACACACTAATTTCTCTATGTGTGAATAGCTAGCTGTTACTAATTTGCCAGGGATCCATAGGGAAAATTTTTCAAAGCAGTGCAGAGGGATTTGGTGGAGAAGGACCAATTAATCGTGGGATTCTGCAGATCCAGCCTGTGCAAGCTGCTCTGACAGTGTAACTAACTGCTCCAGTTTGGTTAAGGCAGAGTTGTATTTGTGGCTGTTATAACTTGCTCAGACCTGTCTCATCAAGCATAGTTACTGCAGATGTGGGACTTGAATACCAACACAAATAGATGCTGCATATGGTTGCGACAGAGTGCAAAGCATTATCAAGGCCTCTGTTATCTGCTCTGGGACCCTCACACATCGCACAGAACTAGTCATGTTGGGTAAAATGAATAAAGGTGTGAGTGCAGTGCAGTCATACATGGAACGATTTGGGCCTAAGTGCTGTTCTCAGCATGGAAACAAAGCATTTGACTACAGAGCCTGATTTTCAACTTATTGATACATTGCGCAAAAGCAACACAAAATCAGAAGTACTCTTGTATATATTTCAAACTCATGTAATGTAGTCAGGCATATAGCAGCTTGTCTAAAATGGAATGTTTTGTTTTTTTTTCTTTACATTAAATGTTGAAATATTATTAGTTGAAAATCCATTCAAGGTAGGGAAAAGGAAAATAAAAATTGACATGTACCCCAGGAGCTTTAATTACTGCATCAATTGTGCGTGGAGATGTTGCAGCCGCCCTTACTATAACTTCACGAGATGGATTTCTCTGATGTGCTTCTGAAAAGCCCAACACAAGTGCTGCACCAGGAACGTATTTCATGAATCTAGAGGTAAACAAGATGTGACAAACTCAGGTACTCGAGGAAATGCAGATGTGGGAGAACGAGGACTACCTGCAGTTCTGAAAAATTAGGGAAACAATGGACAAATTGAAAAGTCAAAGAAATAATACTTTGGGTCAAATTAAATGGTTGATTTTTACCTGGAGGAAACACACTGGTTTTATTCTGCTCATTTTAACTGGTTATTTTTTGCAATTGAATAGAGAACATTTCAAAGTAAAAAGACATTTTGAACTGGAATATCAAATAATTTAATGTGGAAAATAAAACTAACCATGTAAAGCTTTTAAATATTTGAGGTATTTCTGGATTTTCATGTGGAGAAATTAGAACACATTCAAAAAACACTTTCGTGGAACTGAAATTCTTTTTTCCATCCAGAAAAAAACACCAAACATGTTTGGGTTGAAAAAATTTATCAAATTCTTTCAGTGTTTTCATAAAGCCAACTAGCGTAAGAAAAGCAAAATAATAACTTAGGAAAGAACAAATTACATACGCCGAGCTTGTCTTTTTTAACCATGATGGAAGACTTCGCCATTGTACCTTCAGCTGCACAGCTGGCTTCCTCGCCAGTTTGCCTGTGGTAGCTGTAGCTGCTATCCTGTAGTCCTGGCACTCCTTGCCCCATCTCAGTCTGGCCTTTACAAACAGGGAAACAGTCACCCAAATTTCATAAAAGAATCACAGAACCACCCTTGGCCATTTCAAGATGCAAGTTTTAGTTCTTTCCTGAAACTTTATGCTGATCCTTAATGTTTCCAAGTCTTTCTTTTGCTATAAATAAGCTCACAGAGAATTTTTGACTACATCTGGAAAAAGCTGTGGCATAGTAGAATAAGTTTGCTAGGTTGTGCAGAACTACATATATATATTCCTGTCTTAAAGCAGCTCATAAAACATTGGGTTTCTCATCATTTCAAGATTTCTTTAGACTTGGTAATTTCAGAATCAATATGCAATTTTTCTTTTTAGAAGACTGCCCTATAATTTTCAGTAGCCTTCCCCAATACTTCTTGATATATCCTGAATATCGGTATCTTGGTTTTTTTGCAGATTTTGAAGTGGCTAGGTTTTTTTCTTTTTTATTTTTAATGCAAAAAACATAGTGAAAGAGAGGAACATTTTCTGAAATTTCACAAACTTTGTGAAACATTTCAAAATATATATGTTTTTCCTGTCTAGTTTTCCTAATCATCAGGTGCTCTGTACTTAAAAAATCACTGGGCTTTTAGATGTCACTCTGAGCAAAGCTGCCTGTGTGCTTACCTGTGCTTTCAGAGGGAGTATTACAGCATCAGCACATGCTTTCCAATTGGTTTCAGCCAGCTGAACCACAACTAGTTGCACATCAACTTTGGCAGCATCAGAACGAACATATGCTGTGGCTTGATAACCTTGATTTCTGTTGTCACTCCTTACTGCCTGTGCCACAATTGTAATGCCAGGTGGAATTACGTCTCCCAGGAAGTTGCACTGAAAAAGAGCCCCCAACCATCTGTGTTTAAATATTTCTGTGTATACACTGGAGATCCTACAGTCCAGTTTAAGTGTGCTGATAACAGGAAGCAGCTCTCATCCTTCATCTGTTTAGTTTGAAGTATGTGTTTCTATAACCCCAATATTTAAGGATAAATTTGGTTGGACTCTTAATTATTTCATTACCACCAGGAATTTTTAAAGACATGGTTGTTTTGATGAGGGATCCAAGACTCTTCCAAACTATCTCTATGCACACAGTAAGATTTTGTTCAATATTTTAAATAGTTGCATAAATACGTACTAGGTATCTTCATAACAGTATACACATTGACAGTGCATTTTACTATACTGCAGCTCCTTCAAGCCAGTTGATTATTTTGAAAACCTTCTCAGTAGCAGAGTTCCCATAGACATTACCTGCATTTGCAGAGCTATTTGTTCTATTATTGTGTATATACCTTTTCTTAGTACAATTATAGAATACTAAGTGTGTAATAAGATAAAGATGACCTGGGCTTAATGGAACATTTACCAATCAGTAATGACAATGAAGAATCTGATTTCAGTTATGCACTTCATGTACTCATGACCTCAGGTCTACATCTAAATTAGGTGGACTTAAGTTTAAAAAACTTTTTAAAAAAAAATCTTTAAATAAAACCTATTTTTCCCTCCCCATTTTTACCTTGATGCAATTTATTTTTCATTTGGGCTTTCATAAGAAAATTATTTCCCTTTTAACTTACAACCCCATTCCCTTCAAGTTGCATGAAATACAAGGTTTCACATACACAAATACCTTTAGAAATTAAGGAAAATATACCCAAGAAATCAGCAAACAAAACCCTGAAACTAAGGGAATTTGGAAAAAGATATTTTCATTGGGAGAAAATATCTCAACGGACTTCAACTTTGAATTTACAAAGTTGACTTCAGAGTACTTTCCGAGTCTAAATGTTAGCTGTTCAAGTGCTCGTTTGAGCTCTATCTCAGCTGGTTCGAGTGCCACCACATCTAAAGTTCCTGCTCTGCACCCAGCAAAGCCCAGCTGCTTGTTTGTACCAAGCAGGTAGTAGCAGTACCTCGCGTGTCAGGCTGCATCCTCGGCTGCGGTGGCTGCTGTCTCCTCTGCTCGCGTACTTCCTCTTTGAGCTGTGGTCAGTATTTTCTTCATGGTGGTGGCTGCTGCTGCTGCTGCTGTTGCTGTGGCTGCTTTCCAGCTTAGAGGAAGATGACGATGAGCTGCTTGATATCTTACGACCTGGATGCTAAGAAACATGGTTAAAAAACTATGACATGGCCTCTAGTTTTACAAGTATAGACATCAACGACAGAGTTATTAGCCTCCCTCTGTAGGTAACATAGACATATCTAGAGTGTTATTTTTATTATCATATGCAGACATGAAATATGTTGGATAGGAATACGCCTTGGATCCATCTGCATCTCTGCTTGATAGGAAGGCTGCATAGACAGTGACTGCAAAGAGCAACATCACATTGTCCATGAAAACTGACACTTTAGAAATATGAAAGAGATCACAGATTAGTGAAAAACACTGTAAATCATCTTCCTGTTTCACAAGCAGCATACATAATAACTTTAAGGATAACACCTACAAAAACCAGTATGTTGTCATCCTAAAATATACTTAAAATACCTCTATGACATAATGCATACTGAATCTTGTTTCTGATACAGTCCACATACCTGATGATTTTTTTCCATGATTGCCTAAAAACATTGGACATGGTTATTCCCATTGGAAGATCCTGCTGTTTTATAATCGCCCCCCCCCCCCCCCCAGTCTTTGTTAACTTTAATTTTTATTGCATTGTACAGCATCTATCCCAAAGACCCAAATTTAAGGATTGCAAGTGCTGCAACAACAGAAGGATATAGTATAATAGCATTTTAGTAATAAATGTTCTTATTTTGGCTATTGTCAACATTTTAGTGGACAGCATGGCATTCTCAACTGAAATGAAACAAAGTCCTTCAGTAATATGCTTGATCATATCAAACATAGCCATCATGAGAACATACATTTGAATTAGGGACTTACCCAATGGACTTTAGCAGACCTGAAGCGGAGCTGGTATACTTTTGGAAGGTGGTATTCCTGCAAAATTCCAAAAGAAGTTATTACCTACAGCTCAGTAAAGATCACCTCCCAGCAGGAGTCAAAGCATTAGAAAATTTTACCCATTCTGTAGAAACATCATTACTGTGACTGTTAAACTGGGACTTGACATGTTTCATCTCAGCTTGTCTGTCATATTTGCTATGGTGGTGGAAAGCACCAGTGCTTTCACTGCTGCTGCTGATGCCACTGCTGGTGCTTCTGCTGCTACTGCTGCTACTCTGTGTTTTAGGCTTCCGTTCATGGACTCTTCTCTCTTCTTCAGGAGCACTGACAAGTGGAAATGGTGTGGTCTTGGACTGCTTCTTAGCCTTCGGCTTTATACCAGATGCTTTGCTACTGCTGCTGCTAGGTCTACTGCTACTGCTGCTGCTTTTGCTGCTGCTACTACTGCTTCTGCTGCTCCCCTTGCTACTGCTACTCGGCCTTTTGCTGCTGCTACTGCTGCTCTTGCTGCTGCTGCTGCTGCTACTGCTCTTGCTGGGGCTACTACTGCTGCTGCTTTTGCTGCTACTGCTCTTGCTGGGGCTATTACTGCTGCTGCTACTACTACTGCTTTTGCTGCTGCTACTACTGCTGCTGCTTTTGCTACTACTACTGCTGCTTTTGCTGCTGCTGCTGCTACTACTTCTGCTTTTGCTGCTACTCCTGCTACTACTACTGCTACTGCTGCTACTACTGCCACTACTACTGCTACTACTGCTTTTGCTGCTGCTGCTACTGCTGCCACCACTGTCCCCAAAAGGGTAGAATTTCTTTTCTTTGGCTTTGGACTGTCTTCTTTTCAGATTTATCTGGGCGGCTGCCTGTGACACTCTGTTGTCAGAGTCGCTGCTGGAGGGGCTACTTGCTGCACTTTCGGCACTTCCACTGGCACTGCTCGCACTGGACGATGAGCTTCTGGCTTTTATTATCCCCTGGTTAATGGTATCATGGGAAAAACAAAATTATTTTTCTGTGCTGCTGCAGAAAACTGTAAGTAAAATCAGATACAGAGAGCTACAAGTCTCTCTGCTGCCTTAGGAGACACGATGTATGCCTGATAGCATTCTTGCAATACATCACAAGCAGGCAAATTTATAATAACATGTTAAAACTACACAGAAGAATACATCAAACACTTTTGTGATATGCAACATGTGTAGAAATAGTTGATCATGCAGTTACATGGAACATGTAATAACATTACCATAGCTGTTACATCTCAGGGCAAGTTGTCTAGGTAGGCATCATTCCTTTTTGCTCCAGTTACAGTGCTGGAAGGAATGGATTACCTTTTTGAGCACATAACTATTTTGTGTCTTCCAAGAGATTTTCAGAAACGCCTAGAAAACCAGCCTGCTCTTTCTAATGTTCTTCACATGCAGAAGAGATGAATGCAAGCAAAAGACCTGCAGAAAGACTGTGTACCCAAAACCCTGTCTTTATTTTCCAACTTTTTTGTATTATCTAAGCAAAGGAAGATAAAGAAATACAAATAACTAAGTTTTGTGTAATGTCTCCCACAAATCTAGAAGTGGATTTTTATGGTAGTACCTGGTCATTAGTATCATCAAGGATTTTCTTCACTCTTTTAAGCGTTTCTTTTCTGGAAGGTACTTGTTCCTCTGGATCTTCAAATGTTACTAAACGTACCATTTTTGTAGGAGCTTGGTCTCCTGCTTGAATTGTGACTTGTAGTTTTTCAATAGGCGCCTCTGTATAAACTGAAATTACGCAGCAATTAGCGTTGCTGTTACTATCAGCAACTGGATGATGGCATAAGCCATTTTTGGCTATAATTTTTTTTTTAGCCATTCTTCCCCAGATGAAAAAGTACATGGTCACTGATTATTTTTGGTATTCAGAAACTTTGTTACAAAATTTCTGTAACAGCTAAAGCACATACTGGCAGTAACCAAGTTTTTAAATATTAACATGATACTAGATTATTTTCAAGTCAATAAACAGTATGGTCAGCAGATTTAAGTCAAGTGCTTAACTACATAATGTAGTAGGGGATAGTGAATTAGGCATCATGGAGGAGTTGGGGCTCAACTCTCGAACAGTGAAGAATGACCCAATGGTTAGGCCATTCATTTTGATACTTAGGAAATCTAGATTTGGCAGCCTGCCGTGCTTTCACTTCCTATGGACATGGATTAAGACATTAAGGACTAGATCCTGGCAGGGTTAATCCATAATACCCTTTAAAAGTCTACTTTTTACAGTGTAGCTACAGGACACTGCATCAGATCTCTTACCCATGTCCAATTGCTCTGTGCCTGAATCCCAAATCCAATCATTCAGGACACATCAGACACGCTCTGCAGGCACAGATCAGCTCTGCTTGATGCCAGCCTTGCTGAGCGGCATTGCTGGGAGAGGTGAGGAATCACTGCTCAGATGAGTAGGGGAGAAATGGATTCCTGCTACAAGCATACTCTGTTGCCAATACCAGCAGGGGTGGTAGGTCTAATGGTAGTTTTAGTGGTACTTAAGATACAAAAGATATGTATATCTAGAAATATGCATGTACATATACACACCCTTACTTATACACCCATTATGGTTGTATTTACCTGGCTTGAAGCTCATTCTAAGGGCATGCTCTCCAAATAGGTAATAAAGAGGCACATTTTTTATAAACGCTGCATGTATGCTTTTCCTTTCAATGCACACTTGAACCCCAAATGTACTTGCATTGAAGCACATAGATTGAACAAATGGCTGTTTTCGGGAAGAAGAGCGTCCAAAGTAAATTCCCAGTGAAGCATCTTCTGCAGACTGCCTGTCCTATTAGATAATACAGATGTCAGATTAAACTGGACAGCAGTTTAATCTGTTGTAAGAGAAATATTTGAGTGTTATGATTCATATTGTTTTGGTAATAGTTACTTATGTTCTGCAGGGGGAATTAATCAGTTTATTGAGATAGCAATGCTGTGACGTAGGATAACTTGGCTTTCAAATGGACAAAATTACTAGTTGAATGGCTCGATTAGACTATCTAGTGTAAAAAGAGCTTCAGGTTATAAGAATGGAAAATCATATCGCATAGTAATTCTAAATATTTGATTTTGTTTTCCTGAAGTATTAGACAGTGTTAACAGGTTATTGATGAATCTGAGAGTGCTCTAGACTGACTGGAGTTCTTTCCTTTGATTTTTGATTGGGTCAAACAACAGAATCTTCATCTGTGTGCATGAAAGTTCTGTCTCGGTTGAGGTCTGACATGAATATGAGACTACATTAACTAGATGGTCAAAGAATATCAGATGTTCGAAATTTCTGCTCAAAACTATGGAATTATACATGTGCTACGTATGCTTGCAGAAAAATTATGATTAATTAAAACTGGAATCAAATCCATGAAATGAAAACTATGACTTCCTGGAGCAACAAAGCAAGTAGCTAAAGACCCATAATCATAAGCTTTCATTTCACATGTAATACGGGTTTGGAATTAATTTTTTACTCAGTTTACCATGTTTCACAAGATTCCAAACTTGTATGAATCACACTGAAAAACAAATTAAAAACTGGAGTTTTAATGCTATTTGCTTTCCAAAGGAAATTCTAATGATACTGTGGAATGCTTCAGTAAATGCCATTTTTCAATTGCAGTTTATTTAAGAATAATTGCAGAGTGCTGAGTTTTCAGAAGGGCAGCACAGAGGCATGAAGCAGAACTTTACTTGTTCCAGTATATTAGAAACTTCTGCCACTGAAAGTATATTTGCCTATTGACTTCTCCATAGGAAAGTGCCGTACTCATCCTCTGTTCATTTCTCATTTTATGTGAAGAGCCTTCAGAGCTGCAGGACAACAATGAAACCAGAACAGGACGGTGTATCCCACATCTCTGTCAGTCTTTCACTGAATGGATTATCATGGTGATGCTTTCACAACTCTGCCCATCATAGAAAGCCTGTACTGGCTGCTATGGAAAACTGCAGCTCAGGAAGCCATTTGACTTGACGCACAAACTGCCATTTGTCCGTGAATCAGGATGCTTAAAGCATTAAATTTGGTTCTATAAGTTGAGCAATGGAGTGTCTTGTGGAATGTTAGTGGCTGCCGTGGGAACGTGATGCTTGCATAATAGTTGCAAAGTATTTTAAAGATTGTGGGCCTATCCTGTAGATGGCAGTGTAAAATTAATTAATAAAGAAAATGTTTCTACTTCTGAAAAAGTGAGGCAAATCTGATGTATTACGCTCTATATTTTAAAATAATATTACTATAGGGCTATTTGTGTTATTAGTTTGTACCTGACTTATTTTGAGATACTTATTTGGTCAGAGGTGCATTATACATTTTTCTATGGAGAAAATAAATGGCCTCCACTGATTTAAAGCCCCCAAAAGAATAGTTGGACACTACATCACTTACCCTGATGTTATCAGTCTCGCCGGATGCAGAATCTGAATCAAAGGACATCTTCATTATGTCAGGCACTGCTTCAGGTAGAAGAACCGGAGTCATCTTACTAGCATCCAAATCCCCAATATTTCTTGTAACAGCAAATGTCTTAGACCTGCAGAAAAAACATTAGAGGAAACCTGTATTGATAGAGCACTGCTGAGGAAAAGACCTGAATAATGCCTTGTAGCATGTACTCGGCAACAAGTGTCATACCTTGCAAATTGCTTTACAGATATTTACAGCATTTTTCCTGTTGTATTTTCAGGGCTGCTAAGACTGAATAAAGGCACAGACCAATCTCGGAGGCAGATAGCTCAGTTAGGCTTTTAGAATCACATGTACAGATTAAAAGCACTGCGGTTGATGGGATGTCTGTAAGCCTAACACCTTGAAGAGCAGACCACTTACTTAGAAGCATGTCTGTCAATTATTGAATTTTTTGAGTCTTCTATTTTGATCTTCTGGACTTTTAAATTTTTAAACTCATCTTCTGTGCGTTCACTGCTAAACTTACTTATTTTTCATTTTCTTTGACATTATATTTGGGAAAATACTGCCGTAACTTCAAAAAGCAACCTGTTGGACTGGTGGCTACAGAAAGCTGCTTCCTATGCAACTTTTGTTAAAGCAAAATTAAAGAAAGGAGCCTGAAATGATCAAATAAAGTGTCTCCAGCTTGATTTAAATGCACTGGCCATGTCTTGACAAGACATCACAGAGAGATGTGTAGGAAGGTTAAGAGCCTATTTACGTAAATGTGCTCAGAACATTGTTTCCAGTATTGTGGACTCTAACAGTATTAGTCAGGACTCAAGAAGGGTGACATAAGGTGCAGCATGAGACTGAGACTCTCACTGCTAAATATCCTGACCCCCCAGCTCCATACCCCATGATCTTCATGGAAGTTGTTATAGTGCTGTGATAACTGTGAGTTTTGGCTTGGGTTAGAGAAACATCCTCAACGCTGAACACTTTTGAGAGATGAAAACCTATTTCTCTCAGCTATTAAAGTGCTAACTCTACCTTATTAGCCATTTATCAGTGCTAACATCCAGCTCAAAATTCCCCACGTGCTGTTTCTCAAGTATGAAGTTGATCTGCTTGCCCCGGGGCTTTTGTGGTCTGCCAATGGAGGTGGCCTTTGTGACAGTGAATGGAAAGACGGTCTGCAAAATGGTCTCTATTTTAATACAGTCCACACGGTAGTAGCCTAAGCAATTCCAGTCTAACCTATTTGAAAGATGAATTTGTATTCATCTGATAGCCCTCTCTTCCTCTTGAAGGCTCCTACCGTGCTGTGTGCAGTGTAAAGCACACAATTGCTCTTCTCATGGAACACCTCAATAAAATGTGTGTCACCAGTGGGCTTTGTTTTCTTTGCCATCCCTTTCTTTTTTTAGATAAGGACATGACAGCAACGCTCCACGCTGGGTGATAGGAGAACCTTGAAGAATGGAATCTGAAATAAAGTATTCTCCCTAACAAGCTGAGAGGATGAAAGAAAATACAAATCAACTTGTATTTCAGATGGCTCATCTGGGTACAGAGACAAAAAGGAAAATGTTTTTTATTTTAATCCCATTCAATAATTCAAATGACCACTGAACTGCAGGCTGGGTCTCCAAGCAGAAAGCCCTGGGGTTTCTTACCAATTTTTGTAGTATTTTTTATGCCAATAGTCTACTTCTGCCACCTAATGAAAGTGGAAGATCGATTCCTCCCTGTTGAGCACAGAGAGCTGACAAATGTAGCTGCATCACAGGTGACACATGTCAATGTCTGCAGAATCACACGGCACAGTAAAAATAGGCTACAAGAGCCAGCTCTGGTGCTTTAACAAGAAAAACAGTCACAAAGAAGGCCTAAAGCTATGGTATGAAAGAATCTGTACTCTCTGATCTCACACAAGGGAGAAAAATAAAAAGGAGATTTTCCAATATGTATTAGTGTATTTTTTGGATGAGAGAAGAAGCTGTGCTATAATATAAGCCAAATTCACTGCAGGGGTAAAGGACAAGCAATTCAGCTGTGTTGGGCCTACTAATGTTTCCATGAGCGTGGCCTTACATACATCCTTAACATGGGGACAGAAGAGCAGTTTAAAAAAACAACAACAACAACAAAAAAAGCCACCCAGCAAAAAACTGTTTTTCCAGGTTTTAAAGCACAGCATGAAATTATACCCAGATAAATGAGGAGCAAGGGACTGTCCTCCAAACAGATCTTTAGCATTCTTTCTGCTCTGGCGAAACAATAATTTCTGCCTTTCCTATGCCTCATCCTTCTGACCTTGGTTGAAAGGTGTTATAAAACCAGCAACTTGGAGTACCAGGCATTTCCCTTCTTGCTCTCCAGACACACCATGCTGCCTTGTGAGCTCACAGTGTTCACTGGCTCTTCTGCATTTTCAGCTACCTGAGTTGTATACATGTTGTACACAGTGCTGTAATTTCATAATTCATCTGATAAAATGCCTATGTGAAGCAATTTGTGCTTATCCTACAGTTAAAACCAGCAAAAAAAGCTCTGTGATACAAACTGTATTCAAGCTTATGTATATACTTCAGTAGCATGTTATTATAAATATATATTTGCAAAGTGCATTTCCTGGCAGCTCTCCATATTTATACTTTAATCACAGGGCTCTAATTTTCCCTGAAATTTATTTGATTTTTACTTCTTCTTGTAAATTTTGTTAAAAAGTATGTTTAAGTAGCCATCTGCTAAATAATTATGTTAAAAGAGCCTTAAAAATAACTATTATTTTTAATTAAATTTAACTTTGATAAGATTGAATTGAAACACATGTTATGTATTCTCTCTATGGTATGATTAATTATTTTGCTCTGATTTTTCTATAAAGAAAGTTGAGTTTGTAATGGGCTGATTTATCTTGGGAATGTAATCTCTCTATTGCAAAAGGTTTCATTATTTTTTTCTTTAGAGTCTGTGATAGCCCACCTGAGTTTCTCTTCAGCTCCTGAAAATTTATATAAATCCCCACAACTGTGACAGGTTATAACCTGTATGGTGTGTAGGATATAACCAACCTTAATGCTATTGAAGACTGTTTGCTTCCCTTGACTGGATTTGAGAGATGAAGTGGAAAATAAAATCACATCCTGACTTCCTCTAATGACATAGTACTAGAGAATGTAACCCACTGACCACCAAGACAAAGTACTCAATGCTAAAATATTTTTAAGAGAGCTCACAAACAAATGAAAGAGCAATAGTTTCTGGAAATGTTTCTTTAAATGGGATATTTAAAGCTAACAAGGGAAGTTGTCAGAATATCTCTAAAATATTGAATTCAACAGGTCCTTTATTCTTTATAGGATTTATGCAAAAGGAAGAGAAAGTCTATGTAAAACTGACTCACTCTATATAAAGTACACATGTACACTTTCTCTCTCTATCATGCCTGCTTGTTTCTCTTCATAGCTGTAAGATTTTACGTTTCTTGGTCTTTGACCTTGCCAGTGATGTAGTTCAATGTTATATTTGCTAGTTATTGCTTTACCTTCACTTATTGCACTTTCATTGCTCTTTCATTGCTCTGTGTGATTTCCACTGACCATTTGTTTTGTAACAGTGAACAGGAATACTTTTTGGAGAAAATTTGATGGTACTAAAAGTTAGCTAGTGAATCTTAGTTTTCTCACATACTTAGCATTATAGAGCTATTTCCGAGTGACTACTTCACTTTATAAATGATAATGCTGCAGGGTCTAAAACAGTGCTTGGGCTGGAACTCATGGACTTCTCTGCTGTAATCCCTCGTGTATGATACTGGCAATGCATTTAACCCTTTTTGTGTCTGATTTGATATCCCCTTAAGTCAAAGGAGGAAACTATTTTTATTTTGCTTTGCAGAGAGGATCCTTCTGCTAAAACCTGCAGCTCTGCTTGGGGCTCTGAACTCCATATCACTGTTCAAAATTCTCAGTTCGGCATCCTTATTGAGCACATTAATATCCACCTCACCCTCTCCAACACAGGGCTAGGGAGAGCAGGTGCCTGCTGTCCTGATGACCCTGGGAGCAGACTGTCCTGGTCTTCACAAGAAACAGAACAAAAGAAAACACACAGCTAATTTTAGCTCTATGAACTGCCCAAACCTTCCCCAGTCTGCACAGAGAACCTGATTACAATCACATTTGATGGAGTAGAGGGATCATCTTAGGGAGGAGTATGCAGGATGGTCTGTGACCATTAAAGGGCAAGGGAGAATAATGATTAGCCTAACCGGTGGTTAAACTGGGGGACCTGCAGAGCTTCTCTGGGCCAGCAGCCATGAATGCTAATTGCAGCTGGATCAAGCAACTGAGCTCTTTTGTTACGGCTGTATTCCTAAAGCAGAAACTTGTTAACATTTCAGTGTATTGTATAATAGCTGATTTCTGTTGTCAGTGATGCTTTTTCTTTTGTGATGAATTTTCGGGTTGTCTTTCTCAGTATTTTTTCATGTGTATGTGTGAAGGTTTTCTTTGGTCTACTGCTTTGATTCCTTGGACATACTCTTTCTGTTTCCTCCCTCTCTTTGTAGTTGTATTTCCATCTGTTTTCATTTGTTTGGCATCTGGCTGCAACAGTTTTCCAGAGTGTATTGTAACTGCATGCACTGATAATGAATCAAGTAAACCTAACAGGTAAGAAAACCAAATGGCAGCCACAGGGAAACAAGGTAAAAACACAAGAAACACAAAATCCTCTCTGCTTCAAGGCATTAAATGCAAATATATGTGGGTTATCTGTTATAAATGGTAGCATTCATCTGGCTTATATCTTACTTAATTTCTCCAGTCCAAATATATGCACTGGATTAGAAATTTTATACCATTTGTGTTTCAAATAGCTTATGGGTCTCAATAACTGAGAAATAGTCCTAAGTAGCATTCTCAGGTTGCAGCCACAGGAAGTAATGCATATTTTCAAGGAAAGCTTTGGTACATGTCACTTCATTTAAAACAAATAAACTACAGTGATCATTGCCAGTTACCCAAGCTGTCATTCAAAGACAAGCAACTGTTCTATTTGTAGACTCTGCATTGCTATAAAGAAAGATAATAAGTGCTATGTCTTACCTTAGAGTAATTATGTTAGTCTCATCTTTACATGATGGAATTTCAATTTTGATATTTTTTTCCTTCATCTGGACAGTGGCAACAACATTCACAGGTACATGAGCATTTATTTTGGCGTGTGCTTCCAGCCCTGCTTGTACTATGTATGTGTTGATCCCCATCACAAAGATCATCTCCTTAGCCATGCTGAAAAGGTATAATGCAGGTAAGATTATGTTCAGACAGCTGTGAATTTTTATGGCGTCTGTCGCTTAGAAACTTTCTTTTATTTTATACTAAATATTTACCTTAGACTCATTTTGGATCGCAGCCTAATGTTGGCATTTAGTAATTCAGTCAATCTGAAATCAGATTTTGGAGAAGGTGTAATCTGTGCTTGAACTATTACAGAGAGGAAAAAAAAAAAAAAAAGAGTGTTAAAAATCCCGTCCAGTCCTGACAAGAATGTTTGTATTACTCAGGTCTTGAAATCCATTACCGTTCCCTGCTACTTTTGTGATGGAAGAGTAATAGAAGCTTGTCTCTGTTGGAAACCCAGTGCAGGTGGGCACAATACGACGGATCTCAGAGGAGAGTAAGGCCTTGGTCCACTGCCTTGCTACACCACTTTGAAGGCTACTGATTATTTTCCTTATCGAAGGGATTTTTTCTTCAGGTCCATACCATGCCTGCAGTTACAGAGTTCAAACTGTGTAAATAAACAGAACTCGAATATCATGATGCATGTCATTAAATATGCCTCAGAGGAAAGACTGCTAGCAATGATTATAGCTTGACCTTATTAATACTAAAGACAAAACACCCTCCTGAAATCAGAAATTAAAAGAAGAGTCAGAATTTGTGAAAGCATAAAATTTTAAAGCATTTGATGTGTTAGTGGTGGTATTTTCAAAACTATACCTGCAATGCATTTTGAATGGCATTTTTATCTAGTCCACCGAAAAACAGCTCTTGGCCAAACATCTTCAAGTAGGCTGATGCAAAAGGTTTGTCACTGGAGAATGCCTTCCAGTCAGAGAGCTGCATGAGAAGAGGAAGAAAGCCTGATTATTCATAACATTTCAGGTAGCAATACCTTAAAGATTCTCTTTTCCTTGAGAATTTACCTTTTTCAGGACTTCCTTGAAGTCATAGTCGGTCTCCCAGTCCCTGTCAGGAGAGTAACCTGTAGCAAATATCTCCTGCAGTCCTTCAACTGTTATTCCAACCTGCAGGAAGAAGTAAAGTGTAAATGCCATCTGGATGATGGTCATAACAAGGGATAAGAGGGCAAACTGCAGGTAGACTAAATTACCTCCAAGGGATCAGCAACTCTGCCTAGGAAATGTGTCCGCAGCTGGGACATTGCCATCGTTGGAATTAAACTGCCTGCATTGTTCAATACCAAATATTTAGCTGCCAGTCCACTCATAAGAATCTCTGAAGAGAAATAGGCAGTAAGATACATCACAGTTAATTTTTAAAGCCACAGTACACAGATTGTATCAATTTACTAATTGCATAATTCAACTGATACAGCACAATATGAGAAAAGCCAGAAAACCCAGCTATAAAACTGATGTTATAAACCAATTATAAACAGAATATTCTGCATTTTTTAACTATTAGTGGGTAAAATTACAAGTCCCCTGCTCATTGCATGGTGATTATGTTATTTTTCCAATTGCTTCTGCTATATCATTTACACCCATTCAGATTCTGTAACGTCAGCTTATGAAATGCTTTTATGAGACGTCATTTAGGGCAACTTGACAAAGGGGATTAGAAATAAAAAAAGATTTGCCATCCTTTGCTAATCATTTAGGGAAAGTGATAAAGATGTCCTATAAGGACAGATCGCAAGGTGTAGATTTGTCTCTCAAATGACTCAGAGGCAATTTAATACATTTAGTTCCAAATTCTGTAACTCCTTAGATGAAATGTACTAATTGTTAAGTAATTGTTAACTATTGAGTGAACTTTGAGTAAGCATAGTTTGAGTCTATTTATGTTCTCTACATTAGATTTGTCATCTATAATGTTCTTAGATACAGACATTATGTGCAGAGCACAGTCACCTATTCTTCCTGATCTTGGCACAGGTCTATACAGTCCTGTTTTCTGAGTTAATGTAATCCAAAGGCTTTTCTAAGTTTCCATAGGTTTCAAGAGGAACAAGGCTGTCATGATATGTAGGCATCTCTGTTATGCTTCCTTTTTTCCAGACTTCCTCTCTCTTCTCATCCTACACTAGTTGGAAGACGGGGAAGTATTTTAGGAGTCCCTACGTTAACTTTCTGCTATTCTCATTTTATACATAGGCACCAAATACTTAAATCCTAGCACCACCAGAAATAAGCTTTGGGAAGCCAGTACAGCTAGAACAATTGCAGAGCCCTGGAAGATCCAGACCAGTAAGTTTAGTGCCTGCACGGAAATTATTGGTGAATATATTTTCAAATATTACGAGAGGGAGTGAGTCTCTGACCTCTTCCCAGAAAAGCAGTGCATAAATTCTCATAAATTATTTAGCCAAAATTTAATGAAAAGATTATTGCTTGGTTCACAAATGGGGGTGTTATGAACACTCACACCCACATTACTTCTCTAGTGCCACTCTCTGGGTTTCAGATAATATCTCACTTGTGTGTCAACACTTTCTTATTCTCTTCTGAATCCATGCATGCAGATAGGGATCTGGATGATCCTTCACCCTTGTTTACTCCTCATATTCAGTTGTTTCCTGTCAGATTGCTAGGACTAATTTTGATTTCTAATTTATCATGGCAGATTCCAACTTTTCATGCATTTGAGGAATAGTTTGTTGGAAAAGCAATCCACTTAGCCTAGTAGGTCTGTATGAACTGGCATTTTACTAAATTGTTTTCACCGTTTTGCTGTATATAGCTCCTGCGCTAACCAAAGTGCTAGGCACTACCTACCTAAAACGCACTGGTTCAATAACAGCTCTTACAATCAAAATACAAGTATTTATGACACCTCCTATGGCATAAGAGAAGAGAGCATGGATATTTTCCATACCTTGGGCATTCACACAGCGCTAATGCTCATCATAGAATCATACAATGGTTAGGGTTGAAAAGGATGTTAAGATCATCTAGTTTCAACCCCCCTGCCATGGGCAAGGAAACCTCTCTCCAGACAATGTCTCTCAATGGAAAATCCAACTGATACAGTCAGATCATGTACTGTAACCACTTTACTGTGACAGCGTGATGGCACCTGGATGTATCTGACTAAATGTCTTGCCCTAGGGAAGGGGGGAAAAAATATCAGTGATCAAAGAAACCAGTCTTTGGTACCTATGAACATTAGTACACAGACTTAATAATATGAGTCTGTGCATATTGAGAGTCAGATTCCATTAGTCCTCACGTTAAGCAGAAGCTGGGTCATCCCTTAGATTTCAGTGGCAGTGTGTAGAGCAGGAAGCACTGTTTGTGGTGACCATGTCTGACAGATGCTATTTACATATCCCTCTGCCAGCTACCCTCATGCATACTGCACCCCTCTTTTTCACTGTGTGAAAATCCAGATAGCTCATTTTAAAATCAAAAATAGGATGAGAAAATGAGTACCTAAAACTAGAAACACACATCTGCCTATTACTGGAAAATGTATTGCTTCCTGAATGCGTTTTAAATGGTAAAAAATTGACTGTATTTATTTGCGTGCTGTCTCCACCTTTGAGGCAGCAAGCATATGTATAATTTATTACTGTGATTGTTGTGGTATGTATTACATTTATTTTTGTTATTGAGCAGTTTAAATGGTCATGTAAAAATGATGAAACAGGGGCAGGAAACAATAAGATCTACAGAAATCTTTCAAACAACTCCCCTCCCTCCAAAAAGAAGGCAAAAGAACTTGTACATTTAGCACTGTGCATTTCAGGTGTTTCAGAGTCTCTTTTTCTGTTGATCACTTTGAAAATAATGTTTGCATGTACCAGTGAATAACAAAAACACTAAAAACATCCAGGTGCTCTTATATAAACAGCATGTGTAAGGAGACTGTGTTGGTAGATATGATCTCCCTAGTCTGCCACCTGCATATGCCAAATCACTGATGCTGTCATGGTCATTTACATAGGTGAGTTGCTTGAAAAATCTCTATTGAGAAAAATAACACACATGGAAAATAGAAATAGCTACAATTTGGCCTAACAAGAGCTGCTTTCTAATCTGGCCCTCCTGAATACATTTTCATGTGCAGCTCCCATTGATGTAACTGATCAGCCTCCAGATCCCTCCCATATGTGGATCTGCTCATTCCAGAAAAGAATCCTGGTAGGAAGATGCAAGAAAAATCTTTAGACAATAAGCCTGAGTTAACTGCTTATGGGTGCAATGAATTGTCACATCTGCAGAGTTTCTTTTTCACTGGGCACTACTGTTGGGGGTGAAGATTATTTAGCGTCATATTTGAATTCAGTAAGAGTTGTAGGTGTTCAGCACTGGTAGAAATTAATTCACTTCAGCAGTAATTTAGGTCCCTTCTGTTTGTTTGGTGCTGAACAATAGTATGAAATTACTAAGCACCACTGAGATTACAGCATTAGATACAGGAGCATGTGCCTCTCTGGCTAATGAAAATGGAAGGTTAGAGCCCCACAAGTCCTCTGGTAATTTCATACTGGCAGTGTACAATGCAAAACACATGGGGACATAAACACTCTCCAAATGGAAAGCCTGAGATTGTTATTTCTTTATTTATTTTTTCATGGAACATGAGAGAAAAGGGAGGAACAACATGCAGCTAAACAGCTGGCTAGGAGAATTGGGTTCTCATACTGTACAATTTTTTTTCATTGAACTGTATATATATATCTACAAAATCTTCTGAATCTTACCTTTAAACATACTGAACCGGAAAACCTTGCTGAACTGATATCCAGATCTGTCAAATTTGGCACTTAATGCTCTGATGGCCATTCTGCAGGCAGAAGCCCTGGAAAAATTCAGTGAGCACATTAGCACTTCAATTAGTTTGCAATTAGTTTTTCATCTAAGGAAGGGATCCAGATTTTCCTTACACTGCTTGAAGATCTGGAGCTGTGCTCCTACCCAGGGCCCTCACGTGAGAGTAGATGAAACTTGCCACTTGCATGCTAGGTTCCTTCAGGACAGCATCAGCTACTGTCATTAGTATTGGAAGACCTGGCTTGGTTTCAAGCAAAACCACTGCAGCTAACATTCGGACCCGAGGATGAAGTTTTTGATTCAGGAAAATCTCAAGGGTAATAGCCTGGACCTGAAAATAATAGATGCGCTCAAATTTACAGTGTGTTTGAACATTTTGCTAATAGCCATTCATCATCAGTGAAATGTGTAGTATTTAGTTATTATGGCAATACTGTGCCTGGTTTCACAGTCTGAGGGCTGAAAGAGGCATTATGGTAATGTAGTCTGACTTCCTACACAATCAGACTTTGCTGGATAACTTCTACATCAAGATCATTACCTCTTTTTGAGCTACAGCAAAATGTATCTGGAGCATAACCACACTAGGTAAAAGAGATTTCACAGATCCATTACACACCTGAGAAGGGGTTTCAGTGATCACTTATCCCTACCCATAAAGGTATGCCTTATTTCTAATCATTTGGTATGCCTTATTTCTAATCATTTGATCTCCTGGGGCCACTTCTGCTAAATAATGGAATAAAAATGCAATTAATAAAATCCAGTTTATTACCAGAAATCTCTATGCCAATTAGGAAGCTTAAAACTGAAAGTTTACGCAACAAATGTAATTTCCACAGTACTACCTGTGACCAATATGACCCATATATTTGACCTCAGCAATACTCAGTGTCAAGACTAATTTTGTACTGGAACCTTTGCAGTTTCCACTAGTTGTGCTGAAGCCTTTAACCCTAGCTTCGAAATGGATGTGAATGGTGTAACACCGTGCTGGTAGTCCCTCTGCAAAGTCCTGTCCTGATTGGGACGATACACACCTAGCTCTCTGATGAAAGTCTGATCCAGAAAACTCCCACAAATTTTGGAAGCACTCTGGTTTTATTGATTTAAATATGTTGATTATCAAATACCAAGGTAAAAGTGGTCAAGGATGCAGTAGCCTCTTTCTAAATGTTACTACCATTTCAAATTAAATGTTAAACAAATAGAAAAGGGAGACTGTGTATTAAGTCTGTTTAATGCAAATATGGGTGTGTAGCTAGCTGCAAACCAGGCATTAAACTAGTTTTGAACAATGAAAAATCCAGCCACAGGCATTGACTTTCTCCAGATCAATTTTCTCCAAAGAAAACGCATAGAAAATAGAACTAAACAGTGGTCTGGGTCACATGTGGAAAGCCAGGCCAAAGGGCAATCAGAGACACAGCATCATTTTCAAACACTAAACTGTTTTTTTTTTCTTCCCTGGCAAATACTGTAACTCCTACCCTTGCTATTCTCTCCTCCTCCCACTTTTCCCTGTCTAGCTACTGCACTCTGGTAAATTTCTTTATTCTTTAACTTAAAAGCATACCCTGGCACACTATTGTCTGTGGATCAATATGTTCACTCAAACCTGGGAATCATATGCAAAAACAGTATAACGGAAAAAACAGACAGATTAGTAGCAGAATAGTTAATGAAAGCTTTTCTTTTACTTTTTACATTAAGAAAAGACATGTAAAACAAAAAATCAGTATCAGAAAAAAATATCTTGAAAATGCAAGGTTTTCTTTTTGAAGCAGTTTGTTTTAAACTGAAAACGATTGTAAAGTGATGTCTGTGGTGGATGAGAGTATGCCTGTGTAACCATTGTATGTGATATCTAATCATTATCCCGTTCAGGGACAAAAGTCACATTTAGTAAATGTTCTGCTTATGACTTAAACCCACACAATGTCTGTAAATTTGTAATTAGGATGCAAACCTCTAGTATCTATTTACAGTAAGATCTGGTCTTGAATTACAATTAGATGTGACAGTATTAAATGTCAATTCTCTGAAAACCTTGTTTTGTGGTTCTTTCACATACCAAAGTTGAAGTAGCACTAAACATATTTTGGTCAATGATTTAGCTTTCTGTCTAATGTGCTTGGAAAATAAATGTTTGCAATGGAAATACTGATTTGTCTTCAATAATAGGGTAATGACTATCATTTTAATGGAATTTTTGTTGCAGTCTGAAATACTAGAGATTAATGTCAAAAGGAATAAGACATACCAAGGAATGACTAAGTATTTTAAAAAACCCACAACATATTAAAGGTATACTTGAAAAAATAAAAAAAAAAAAAGAAAAAAATCTGCTCATCACCCATTGATTATCAACCTTGTGTTTGGTTGTCATAGGTGCAAAGGAGGCAGCTTTGTTTCCTTACCAGTTTTGGATCTTTCATGCCTACGTTTTTCAGGGCCATCACAGCAGTTGCATGGACCTTGAGAGGCAAATCTGAGGCACCAGCTGCATATCCTGGCAAAAATTTCTTGATGTGCTTGATGCTGGCTGGATGTCCTACATTCCCAAGGGCTTTCAAAGCCAGGGAAATGTCTTCTGTGTTAGATTTGCTCAATACCTCTCCTGCAAAGCCATGAAGTAGCTGAAAAAATAAAACAGATTTTCTGTTGAGTTCAATTCCAGCTCTTATCTATATCCCATCCCCCAGACTATTTTGAGGTTTGACTCTGATAATTTCAGTTTGTTCAATTCACTTACTTTAAATATTTTCAAATTCTTTCTGTCCTCATGAATAGGACATTTTATTCATAGAACGAGCATAGCCAAGAATGCTGCAATGAACAGTTTCTTCATCACTGTGCCTTAAAGTTATCAAGTAAGAGCTTTAAAATGAAAAATAATGGCTAGGAGCTAGTTCCCACTGCCTTTTGGGGTGAATTAGGAACCTTGCAATAATGCTGTTTGAATATCTCTTGGCTGAAGACAGATGAAAAATGTAGATACAGCTAAATTCTTCAGACCCTTAAACAAGATTCCTGAAGATATAGCTAGTGGAGATGCTCTAAACTTCAGCTATGACAGCCACTTTTTAGTACGGATTAATAGCTGGCAACAAGATAATCAGGTCATCCCTCAGCCTTTGTTGTAAGCAACTTGATCACACTAATATTCACGTGGCAAGATTAGAAGTAGTTGTGTGAAGGCTGAATATAAGAACTAAATCCTAATAGAAAACTGTTTTCAATGTTAACTAATGGCTCTAAAAAAAACCCTGAGACATTATAGAATCATTTCAATACAGTTCCTATGCTATAAAATATCACATTTGAGATCCATTGATGATGCAGAAACAGTCTATTTGATATTACTAATCAAATGAATGGATATTTGAAATGCATTGAATAAGCCTATACAATCATTTCCTTTGGGAAAGAATTTCCATTCCTGGAACCGGTCTTTTCAGATTTAATTAGCTCAAGAGCACTGGTGGTAATCGTAACACAACAGACACATGTAGGAATGTTGGCCATGTCTCTGTACTACAGGAAAAAAATGCAGGCATGGCAGGCACATCCTGCTCTTACTGGGGTTGGTGGACTGACCAGTGTTAAAGAAAACACCTATTTCTCTTTTACTCTCTATCACTGCAGAATGGCCAAGCTCTGTATACCATGATGTGCATCTCTAGAAACAGCAAACGCTATTTACTACCTCTTTAAATTGTTTCCAGGCTTGTTGATTAAAAGCAGTGCAGAACAGGGAGGGTATTACTATTATTTAAAGCTTACAGCCTTTGTGGATGACTGGGCTCTGCTTCTGGCTGAGAAATGGCTGGGCTACATGACTCCGGGCAAAAACATGGGCTTTTGTGTCACTTAGTTTATTTATAAGTATGTACAAGTACCTATATTTAAAATATTTCAGAGCAATGCCATGCTCTTTCATTACTAATTGGCAGTGAAGCACTCAGAGATACTCAGATAGAAAGTGCTGTGAATTATGTGCTTCTTCCTCTCACTCTTTCCTGTGTTAATCTAGAGATAAAAATGCTGTAGTTAACCAACTGGGGTTCCTTTCCCCAAAGAAAACACTGTAGTGAAGTGAAATACAGGTTTCTAAATAATGAAGAAAGTACTCATGGCTTAATTTTTCTTTTAAAAGATAAATAACTATATGGTTACCTGGAGACATTCAGAGCAGGAGTCTGATGAAGAGCACTGTTTGTGACACAGTGACGCATAGCTGAGATAGCAAACCTTTCCAAGTACAGTACTTGAGCGTGGGCAATGTTTTTTCACAATGAGCTGGGAAGAAAGCAGTTATTCATTACCACCATTAATGAAAAGCAAAAAAATTAAAAAATATGTTTCTGCCAAATGCAAGGTAAAACCAGGCTACTGATATTTTTGTATCAATGTATTTACAGTTAATCAGTGGATATTACTATATTTGACAATGCAAACATAAAGTAATTCCAAGTAACATCTGGAAGACTGATCTCTTACTTTTATAGAGTTTCAGATTTAAATTTGGCATAGACTTTAATCCAAAGGGAGGAAATCACCCAGTTATGGAATGGAAGGAAAAACACATATTATTCAGGAAACATTCATCACTGTTTTATAATTGCTTCACCTATAGGTACAAAAACCTTGAGGTACATTGTGAATGGACCTCAGTACTTTGGGCAGACAGGAATATTTCATATAAATGTAGGAGCTGACAGGAGGCACCAGCGCACTGCTTCCTTGAGTGGGAAGTAGGGCCTTACTGCACAGTAACAGCCAGACTGTCATGGCTTTTACAGAGAGCAAAACGCTGGTCTGAGATTCATGCTCTCTACCTAGGGTAGGCAGAGATAAGCTCCTGTGTCTGAAGATAGAATTAAACCCTGCAGAAGAGTGAAAAATTGTAAAAATCATTGGACTTACTCCCACGTGGGGTCCACACTGACATAATTCCCTTGATTTTGATAGATCCGCTCTGATTTATACCCATCCTGCTAGGTCAATCAGGACAAATGGATATAACAAATATGTATTTCTTACTCCCCAGTCTTTGTAGACACTCAGAACTCCAATCTGATGTAACTATAAAGTACATTTGGACAAAGGGACCCTAGACACCATTGTTTGCAGCAATAACTTCTGTCCCTGAGGGGTACTTTTACTCTTTCTTTCCCGTTTCTTTCTGGATTCATTTTTTCCCCTTTGATTTGCATTTTCCTCCCCTTAAGACAGACAGGAAATAAACTCCTTTCAACCTAACTAGAGGACATAAAACCTTTATATTTTCAAAGACTTTGCCATCCTTTCAAAGTAACAAATACAACAGATACTAAAATCAGTAGTGACTGGAGAGTGTCTAGGGAATCCTACCGTTGCTTCCTCCATTGCGTCCCTAGTTGGTGTGCTTGAGTGCAGAGCCACAAGCACCGTCTGAGCTGCTTCCCAGTTGGTGAGTTCTTGCCTTTCCATTTTATGCCTCAAGAACCTGAGTGCACGGTGACTGGCAACTGCAGGAATTATATCCAAAATGTAGCGCCTGTAATGGGAAAGGCAAGGACCATTTTCCAGATCTGCATTTAAACATAATTATTCCAGATGGTCTTCAAGAGTTTGTCAGCACAGGAATCACTGCTTGCATTGCTTGTACCTGTACACTGGCTGGCTGGAGAACTGCTTCCACACCGACTCATAATCCTCCTCATTTGCTGCCCGGAAGAGGTGCATAAGCTTGAGGGCTTTTGCTGGTGCATCGTTGGGAAGCTGTTCAGATGTGGTCTCTACTAGGTCTTGCAGACTTTCCTCTATCTGCAGGAGGATTGAAATGCAGGAAGCTCACACACATTGTTTCCCACATGCACAGATTCCAAGCTCCTACAAAGAGTCCATCCAGTAGCTGAACATTACCTGGCTTTCCACATTTTTTATTCTGAATAAGTGGACAGGAAGCTGAAGCAATTCACTGCCAAACTGGTACTGAAGTGACCCACGATCCTGAAATTCTTTTGGTGGGACCTCTGCCATTTCCTTCTGCACATCAGTCAAAGCAAGTTTCTGCCTGGAATGGAGAAACCCAGGGAGATACAGGGTACAAATAAAAAATAAATCAGTAATTCTGTCTCCCTGCATCGCAATGCAACTGCAATTTTATCAAAAGGGTTTTGTTATAGAGGGGAAAAAAACAGCTACATTTGGACATGATGCTCAGAACTGTACTCTGAGAAGGTCATCACTTACAAAGCAGGGCTCAGATCAGAGCCAGCCTTTGCCTTCCTTTGGGAATAACATGGCTTGAGAATTTAAGGATGAAGAGGGAGGTGAGAAGCTGCTGCCTGAACATCACAGGAACCGTGTGTTGTGTCTTAAGGAGGGAATTAAGGATTATAGAAAAATAACTGGTGGAAACTTTTTTAGAAATCATCACTTAATCTAAACATTTTAAGAAGTTCATAAAAGCTTTTATGTCTCTGTGCCTCCTGGAAGCTTCAAAAAGAATTGAAAATTGTTAGATACAATAAGAAATGTTACAATCTTTTTACTTGCACTATTACAATTCCCTCCCCATTTTTCTTGGCAAGCTGAATGTCCTGGGGACTGCAGAAGATAAAAGGTTCTCATGAAGTTTCAAATTGGATTTCCCAAACAAAAAGGGCCAGATAAATTCAGGATTAGTCTTTCAAAAAGTACTTAAGTTTTTGGAAACTTTTCAAGGAGAACAGAACCTTCATCCTTTGTTATTAAGAGTAACTGCAATGAGAGACTGTCTTTGTAAATATTTTCTATCATCTTCGCTACATTTTCAGCTAAAGGGATGCACTTTACCCCCCCAATTATGTTTGAAATAGGTCATTTAGGACACTATAATAAAGTTAGGCATTTGTACTGAACAACTGAAAACATCCCAAAAGCAATGTTACTATACTACACAGTATCTCAAAATCTCTATAGAAAATTGGCATGTTTATTTTGGAATCTCTATGATGATCTTCTGTACCATTTCTATCCACTCCTTCCATATGGATTGCAGAGAACTGCTGCAGAAAATAGCATATAACTGCTTTGCAAGCCACTGGAATTTGAATAGAAATTGCTACAGAAACAGCAGAGATTTTTTTTCTCTCTTGAAATTTTACACAATATTATTGAAAAGGCATTTGGATGAGAAAGTATAACATCAGGTACACTGAGACAGATTTTACTCTCTCTTCCAGAACATGATGAATCTATCATCTCTTGATTCTCATAATTTTAGGAAGATATATATCTGCCTAGAATAGATGGGAAAATGTTATACTCTGAAGAGAAGAGTAAGTGAATACTAAAGATAGGATTAAAACAGTGAAACAATAGTAAAACCTGTCTTGACTTTGAAAGGTGCTGCAAGAGGGTTATTTTGAAGAGGTCTGAAAAATCAGCTCTGAATGTTTTAAGTCCTTGAGGTTAGATTTTTTATTTTTTTTTTTCCCTCTAAGCACAGAAAGCGCATTGTGGAAATAACTTCTGAAGACTTGGGTGACATCCACATCTTCCCAACTATCTCATATTTGGCCCGTTCTGCTGCGTAACGCAAAAGATCCACAGAAAATAGGAAAAGGCACTACCCTTTCTGAGGGCTTAACACCTGAGGAAAAACAGTGTATGCAGGCTTGCAGGACAGTTTAAATCAGCAAAAGTGCATTGGCTCTGGACTAACGCTTGGTTACAACAAAGTGTAATTATGTAAAAGCACTACAACTGTACCTATCTTCACCTTGATTGCATGAGATAGTAAAGCCACTTTCAACTTTACTGTTTCTTTGTTGTTGTTGTCTTTTTTTTTTGGTTGATTAGCTAAACTGAACATGCTTTTCATATTAATGAAGTTAATCAGTGATTTATTGACATGAACTTTCTGATGCTGCAGTTTTCAAAACTGTATATTATACCAACAAGATTCTTGCAGAAGCAACGGAGCAATGCAAGAATACAGAAACTGAAGAGTGGGATTGAGGTATATCTTCTGTACAGTGACTTTTATGCAAAAAACCTCCCTCTTCAGAAGGGCACTCCTGTCTACAGAGTCCATCACTAAAGCAGGTAACTAAAAACTTTTCCAACTGATGTTGATATAGACAAAAAAGTTTTCAAACGTTGAAAATCTGGGGGCCTGAGATAAAAATGAGCAGTGGCAATATTTCTTAGAAAATCATATTCTCATTTTGCCCAAACCTGTTTAAGAAATATGCAAAATTTGCTTCGGAAAAGCAAATACATTTTACATGTCTTGTACCCAATCTTTCTGCAATAAAACTCAATTTCCTATCAAGAAACAGTTTTGATGGTAGATTTGCAAGCAGTCTGTGCTTAGGAAGTAGATCAGAATCCAAAGCTCTATCTAGGTTTCTTGTGAAAGTCTGTAGGGTCTCTTACTGTATTATTATTTTCCAGGAAATTCTCTTTCAGTAACTGTCTTTCAAAATATTTTACTGCAAATATATTAGTTTACAATTTTTCAGATGGAATTACATTTGTTTTGGCTTTTCTGACATAAATCAAATATCCGTGCAAAATAAAATAGTCAAACCCTGCCAAGTTTAGCTAATAAAATTTGGATAGTGATGTGAATGTTTCAGATTTACAACAGTGAAGGTTGTTTTTATGAACTGTTTGGGATTTTATGTAATTAAATATTGGCAAACAATAGGCTGTGGAAGTAAAGTATTTCAGTTATGGACTTTGATCAGATTACCGAGATGCTGAGTTATTTGGTGAATTACAGGCATATGTACAGTACCTTGCTTCCACTATAGCATTTCCTCCTGTTATCTCATTGAAGGGTGCAAACTGGTGGATTTCCTCAACATCAGCTTGTGTAATTACAGCTTCATTACGTGTATACTTGATTTTGTAATTATAAGTAGCAGTTGCCCGGGAATTCCTGTTTCTCTTTATAATATAAAGAAGCAAAGAAACAAAGAGAGTCATTGAACTTGTAAATTCTGTGACTAGAAGCTATCATATCACTCACTTCAATCCATTCATTTTCTAGGGCTGTTTTGTTCATTTGCACTATAAGGGTTTATGTGAATTCTGCTTGCACACTTCCATGGGAGAGGGCAGGAATGCTGGTGAGTCTCTCACTTTTACTACTAAGAAGTGTTAGCTTGTTTTAACTTTCCCCAAACATAAGTAATTGGTTATTCCCTTAAGAAGGAGATGTATTTTCTGAGGAAAGCAGCAGTATAAGCCACACAATTTTTTATTTCAAAGGCAGACTTATGTGAAGATGCAGCAGTACCTATCTTGAAGAGCAGAAACTGGACATCATGACTACCTGGCTTACTAAACAGAGTAGGTGAATTAACTCATGCTGATAACTAATGGTTTCCAAGCCATCTAGTTTGAGCTAGTTGAAGTGTGCCTGCAGTACATGACAGTTTGCAGCACAGACCTCTGCTGCTCTGTGATCTGATTTTTCACACAGAAAGAAAATGTTGATAACTAGATATATCAGGTCTGACTCTTCTCTCATTTTTAAGTGTTACAAAGCAAGAGATAGTGTGGATGCCAAATGGCTGTCTGCATATGAATATAAAATACATTTACATAATACCACTCTAATTTACCTGCTGGCAGGTCTGGCACGGTTGAGTGTATGCTGAACCTGTGAGCAGTTGCACTTTCTCTTCACAACTGTTCAGGTCCTTGGATTTGGTCACATAAACTAGACTTGCTCTCTTGTTTTCCTGAATTGCATACGTTGTGTTACAAATACCTCCAATCCCAGCCTGGTGAAAATGAAAATGTGATCAGAAATAATTGATGAAGCTTTGCACTTCTATGCAAAGCTTCATCTATTCCCCACATAGAATTTCCTGGTTAATTCTGTATTTTCAAAATTCCTAATAGAAATGAATGCTTTTTTATTCATGGCATTTTTCAGAAGCAAAATTGGGATGGTTGTTACTTTCACCTCTTTTTCACATGTGCAGGTTTCCAGCAAGGCAAATCAGTTTCACTGACAGAACTAAAATTCTCAAGAATTTCACTAAGACAAAATTTGGAGCCTCAGAAAGGTGAGAAACAGTTGCCAGTTGGAGCTGTCAATTATGAAATAAGATTTCAGGAATATTAATAAAAAGTGACAAAATAATTTGATCATACAGAATAAAATCTCATCAGCAAAGTATTTTAAGGTTGGAGATGACATTCTGCCCTTAAAATTTGCTTTTATAGGCAGTTTATACATGCCTATGGAACAAGCCTTGAAATATCAGATCTGTCATAATATGAACTGCAATAATTTAAAAGAATTTCAAGACAGCAGAGTTTTGATTGTGGGTTTTCTTTTCATTTTTAGTTCAGATCTTCAATAATATTTCAAGCATATATATTTATAAGAGCTCTTGAATCTCCTCAGTCAATGAGAGTTTTGAAGAGGAAAGTATTAGATTGCATTTTAGGAGGAGAGGTTATTTTCATGATTTTTTTTTTTATTGTTATTTATAACATAGCCACTCCAGAGAGCAGCTCTGGGCTATGTCAGAACAGCAAAATAGTCATGTGGTGGTTAGGAGGCAAGACATACCCACTTCATCTTTAGCTTAACAGTATTCCTAAAAACACTATGACTTCGGTAAGAGCTGGAAATAAGAATTGCCCATGCTTTCTGACAGACTGGTACTCTGTGAGTACGGGTGTGAGGCTCCTCTGCAGACTGCAGGGTGTGGCAGAGACAGCTATACTTCAAATAGGAGCTTCCAGCCCACTGGGCTCAGTGGGAAGAAGTAGCCTCCTGCCTAGCTTCACTTTCTAGCTGTGTGCAGTTCATGGCTAGTTCAGATACTCTTGCCCGACACCCAGCAGGGTGCAATATAGACTTTTCCAGGTAAAGTCCTTTAAACCTCTCTGCATTTCAGATTTTGGGACTAATAATGCTTATCTTCCTTTACAGAGTGACTTGAGATTGTCAAGGAAGGGTGCCAAAGCTCATTAATCAGTTGCTGTTTGAGAAGAGCAAAGAAAACTTGGAAATTATTCTAGGAGGTGAAGTCACATATATTGCCTAACAGCAAGAGTAGGACATATTGCTAACTGAATTAGAAAGAATGAAGATGTAAAATGAGATATGAGAAAATAGCACTGCAGAATACGCGACACCACCAGTAGGATTTTTATGTACAACAAACAGCATGAAAATATTAAATCATACAGTTCTTTTCCCAGAAACAAATCTACTTACATAAAAATAAATTAAAAAAAAGTAAAGTTACCCTGGTCTGCATTTTTACTAAAAGTAACATGAAAGTATAAGAATTTCAATTTTTTTGCTGATCTCTAAATCAAATGTAGTCTAATCAATGTAAATATGGTTTTGCAAAAACTAAACACATTGCAATTTCTGTGGTGAATAGTAATATCAGATGATTTACCTTGACTAAGATATTAAAACCTGAAAAACAGTGGAAATTCCTACAGCATCAACTGCAACTGTTAAAGCTATTACAGTAATCATAGAATCAGAATAGTTAGGGCTGGGAAGGACCGTAAGATCATCTAGTTCCAAGCCCCTGCCATGGGCAGGGACACCTCACGCTAAACCATCTCACCCAAGGCTTTGTCCAAACTGGCCTTGAACACCGCCAGGGATGGAGCATTCACAACCTCCCTGAGCAACCCATTCCAGTGCCTCACCACCCTAACAGGAAAGAATATCTTCCTTATATTCAATCTAAACTTCCCCTGTTTAAGATTTAATCCATTACTCCTTGTCCTGTTACTACAGTCCCTAACGAAGAGTCCCTTCCCAGCATCCCTATAGGCCCCCTTCAGATACTGGAAGGCTTCTATGAGTTCTCCACGCAGCCTTCTCTTCTCCAGGCTGAACAGCCCCAAAAATGTCATGGCATATATACTGTTTCCTTCCTAAAAGAGGAGCTAGAAGAGATTAAAGTATATATGATTGCCAAAAAAGTCAAATTACTGTTATTTTAGCTTTAATCTTGTGCTGCACATTTAAGCTTGTTTTAATACACTATTCAAATTTTATTTAGGCTTCAGCTTTCACAAAAATTTGCTTCCTCTAGAATCACAAGCCCGATTTGCTAAGGGTCTAATACTGTACATACATTTACAGAAATACTTTGATCAACCAGATTAAAAATCTGCTATTCAGTCATCCTGTTTAGCTACAGCTCCATCAAATCTTGTTCTGTAAGGACAACTTAATCATGATTTTCCAAGCTTAGGTGTTTTTTGTTAGTGAAGAAGCTTATGTCAAGAACAAATTCAGAAAATATGGTATTAAGAATCTGAAGCGAAAGTGACCACAATGACTAAAACAAGATGCTCACCTCTTGTAAGCTGTATGAATGCTGCATCTTCTTTAGACTTAGCTCCAGCACATTCAGAATTCCTCTGTAGATGTTCAGAGCATCATCTGAGACAGAATCAGGAGCCTTAAGGTTTCCAACATGGCCATTACTATACTCAAACTTGATGGGAGTACTAAGTTCCCCAGTTAATACTTGGGTCAGTTTGAGAGACCGAGAGAATGAGCTTGTAGGCCAGACACCATTGTACTCTGCTGCTTCGATTGAGTGGATCTAGAACAAAGGGGGAAAATAATTCCTCTCTAATTTTTTCAAGTAGCTTTTTTAAATGCATGCAAGCATCTAGAGCTTTACTCACATCAAAAATACACTATTAAATAACACAGAGCCTATTCAAAGAGAAATCTTAAAAGTTACAATTTAACATAGCTAGTATCAATATGCATATTTCCATATATAAAAGGAGAGAGAGTAATGTGAATGACTGAGATATTTCCACAGTCACTGCACTCTGTTCTGTTTCATAGGTAATCCATATTGCCAAAGGTTGACTTGTATGAAGAAATGAGCCAGAGAGTAGGTACATGAAGCAGGTTGCTACCCAAAAGTGGTATGGAAGATCTACAGGAAATTGCAGGAGAAAGTTAATGTTGCATAAAGCATCATTAACTTCTGTTGTGAACTCTGTCGTCTCTCTCGCTGGGGTCACAGAGCACAGACAGCAGTCAGAAACTAATAACAACATGGCTGCTGGGCCAGCCAGATAGTCGTAATTAGTTTGAGCAGTGGAGAGTAGATTACAAAAATTGTCCTTCCTTATGCATTTTGCTGCAGAGCCAAAGGCTTAGGCACCAACCCCACTTTGTACTTCATACTCCAGCCTCAACCTGGGGCACATCCAAGCAAGTAGAAAGTTGTGCTGAACTATGAATAACTCAAATGATTTCTACCCCATGGGAATAGGGCATGCTTAGCTTAGTTTCTTAGAGGACCCTTCCCTTCTATATATTTTGACAATTTAAAGAGACTTTTCTCTGACACCTCAGGCTGGTGATGTGATGCAAGATGCGGATTAATTTCTCAAAAAGCCACACAAACTAAATCCTCATACAGCAAACCTCTGGAGATTGCACTTTCATATTTATTTTTGTTATTGTTGGTGGAGATCACTGCCAACCCCAGTAACTGAAGCTTACAGAGGAGGCTGTTACAGAGCAAATCCTTCATGCTGCCTCTCGGACATGCTTCTGGCATATTGCATATAGGCAAGTTTGGGAGTGCTCTGCAATATCAGGATGAGGTAGTTTTCCCCAGCCCTCAGGGCCCAGTCAGGACTTATGCTATCTTCTAGTTTTGAACACATCTGGCAATTCATACCTGCAGGTTTGCGATGAAAAAATTGTCAGCTGGAAACTGCCCAGGGAACACAGGTTTTTGCTTGGGCTGAATGCAAACTACTAGGCTACAGATGAAAGATTAATTCCCTGAACCATCCCTCTAAACTAATTTAAATATAATAGCAGCAAAATAAACTTTTCCCAGAGCAGAAGGGAAGAAATGTATAGTTACATTTAGAACTTACCCCTTAGAACTTGCCCCAAAATATCTTTTTTTTTATCTTCTTTTTCTTGCCTGAAAATATCTCTGTATTTATTTTTGAAACGTAAACTTTTTCCCAAAAGCACTGGGGAACAGGAGTCAAACGTTGAAGACTTACCCAAGAGCTGTTTCAGTAGGAATGGGGGAGAATGTGGGGTAAGCACAAGGTGGCTTCTGCCTTCTGTCTGCTGGGGAAGCCTTCTACTCACCAGTGTAGATGTGTGGCTCTTATTTATTTGTTGTTTTGCAAAAAAGTCCAGCCACTTGCAAAGGTTATGGAAAGCAATATTTCTCATCTATATCTATTAGAATTTGAACTTACAAAAATATCTAGTAACACAAGGCTAATTCAGGCTGGAAGGCTATACATTTACAAGCATTTACCAGACAGTCACCAGTCTTTTTAATCTGCAGTTTTCAATTTGCCAAATAAAAGCTTTTAAAAAGATCATTTTTCTTCCACGTATGCAGAAGACTAAGTGGAGTTTGTGCAAAGCAACTGAGGGATGCATTTCAATACACTCATTAGAGGCACGTATAGGCTTCTGTTAAAGCCAAGTGTTTTTCACATAATCAAAACTCTTAGTAATTACTCAGCATGCAGTAAAAATATACAATTGAGGATAACAAAGAATGTCATTTGGGACCCTGCAGAACAAGAAGCCACCAGATGACATTAATTATGCTAAATATTGAATCACATCCAGCTACTGTCGCATGTTTTATTGCCTTTCATTTGCTGGTTACAAAATCAGTTGATTAAATAATCTTAGGTTGTACAGTTTGGAACAATTGGATTGATCCAGTAATAAATTATTGTGCATCTCAAATTACATTCCATTGTCTCCCTGACCACAAAGCAGAAGAAATCCTTCAAGCCCAAGCCTGGCTTGAGCTGAGAATTACCTGACAAAGTGCAAATAGAATTTAGGGCACTGCATGAAAAAAAAATAGTGTTACTTGCATTCTCCCTGAGTAAGCACAACACATGATGAAAATTAATTACTTCCCAAAAGCTTAAAAAAATAAGTCAAGTATGAAGAAAATTTTACCTTTCAAACTGAATACATTTTCTTACCCTAATAAGACAAAGTTTTGGCCCAATACCACTAATTTCCACTTTACTTTTTATTCTTATTCCAGCTCTTGCAAGTCCTTTCTCTGGAAGTCCACTGAGAAGTATGCTTTCATAATTAAATGAATAAACCTTGTTTTCACTGAAATCGGGTTCTGCAAAGAAATGGTTTCCATAAAACATCATAAAGACTGTACAAAACATATTAAAGTACCTGTATTAGAGTGTATGGCACAAAAAAGATGAATTTGTTCATTTTTGTATTGCACCTGAGAAAAATTAGCTGTTGCAAAATTATATTAAACATTGATATACTTTTCAGATTCTATTTTGAATTTCACTCATTATAATTATATTAGCTGATAGGGAAATTACTTACGGTAATTAAGATGCTGGCTCCCTGAAAGAGAAGGAAAAAAAAAAAAAAGAAAGAGTAATGAAATGACAAAGCAAAAAAAAAAAACCCAACCCCAAAATGTTAATGTATTTTAGTATGAAAGGCTATATCTCATCTTGTACATATAGCATAACTCTTTCTAATTAACTTCTAGTTCAGCATATAGCAAAATGACTTTTTTCCCTAAACAAGAAAAAATTTTCATAATTTTTCTATAAAATGCTAAAGTTCATGTTTGTAAGTGAACCATGTTTAGATTCTGAAACATTTTCCTCAATATATTATTTTAAATTCATCAAAGCAGATAAGTTACTTACCCACCACTGTTAAAACCAGGGCAAATGTCAAGCCCCTCATGATGGAGAAAAAGTAAAGGTGAACATGCTGGGTTCTCTTTTATAAAGGCATGGGTTATCACATGTTTCTCTTGGCATGTTAGTTTGATAAATAAGTGTATTTTAGAATGCTTACTGATCAATCAAAAATAAACATCTCTGAGGTCATGAATGCGGACAACTTCAAATCACCTCATGTTTTCTACTAACTTTCTATATGAAATAGAGATTTCCTTTTCAAAATATCTTGTTTCCCCATTTCTCCACATTGTAGTTATAAAATTTTAAGATAAATAAAAATGGATCCTCAATCATTCCTGAAAGAATTTAGCTTTCTCCAATCATGTCTTCAGCCTCCTGATAATTTGCTCTTCATAAGGGTCACAGCTTTGGAGACACACACCTTGCTGTCATATTGAAACTCTACTTTTAGAGAGGAATTTGTGATTGATTTCATAGACTTAGGATTGAGATACCTTAGAGCTCATAGGCATGCAATGAGAAACTGTTTTTCCCCGGTTAATTGCCACAGTGTCTGCAAGCACGTCTTGTTACGCACACCTGGGAAGAAAAACCTTGTCATTATCACCTTCACATTAGCTTCTGGCTAATGGTGAAAGTTTATACTATGAAAAAGGGAGGAAAACTAATTTCTTTATGAGAAGAATCTAATAAAAACCTAGCCACATTTCAAGAAGAACCTCTGTGAGTTGGGAGTATCAGGTCCTTCTCAGTGGGTTCTCAAAAGTCTTTGGCTGCTGCCACTCTTGAGAAAATACATCTAGAATTTCGTACTTATAGTAATGACATTTAGACTAGTCCCTAGCAAAACTAAATCAGAAAGGATTTTACACCCTAATGTTGGTTTTGCAAGTTTTTTTTTAATCTTTTGCAAGTGTTTAACATTTTTTGAAAGTGTTTAACATTTACTTGAAGTTCAATCTTGTCTTTTGGTCAAATGGTAAACTAAATATCACTTAAAAAAACCCACCTGGGTACAAGGGTTACTAAGGGGTCAGGAAGGAGAGCTCAGGAATGTATACCTGGTATTTGCTTGCAGCTGTGAAAGGTACAATATACCTGCAAGTAATGCACATAGTCAGGCAGCTAGACTTTACCCTCCAGGAGGAGAACAAGGTTTTCTTGGCTGTTGCTATTCATCAGGGAGGAGAAGGATGAAACCTCAGCACAGGTCCTGAGGTCTCTACTATCAGGCCTGAGAATATATTTACTGCAGGCTCCATCAAGCAGTCCCTTTACAGGATTACTTCATTTACTTGGAGTGGTGCCACCTGACTGAGGAATAATGAAGTTTATTACTGTGGTGCCAGTGCACCTGAGCTGAAGTCAGGGAAGCAGTGGTGTGGCCCCTCTGCTCTGTTGCTGTTCCTCACAGCTGCCTGGGCTGGAAAAACAGGGAAAGTCAGAAAGTAAATGAGGGCTGTCTTGTTTGGATAGCTTTGCTACCAATACCTCCTGAAATCTGGAGAATTTTAATATTGCAGCTTTTTTTTCATAAAGGGAAAGGTATGGAATTGGATGAGTAGTCAGGCTTTCCTTGAAATTACATGTGTGTCTAATAAAATATTAAAAAATATATGATAGACATGTGAGCCATTAGAAGAGATTAATAACTGGGTTGTTGGTTCAGTGTGTGTTCAGATGGTAAAAAATTAAGTGCACATGGATTTTCCCTGATGTTTTCTTCCAGGGTGTTAACTTGTGTGAGATATGACAAGATGCGCCAAGTTTGCGGGCCCTGTGAAATTCAGCGGCATGCCTTTTCTGGCATGTATTCGCTGTCAAATATAGTTAGAAATTCCCTACAGTCACGTTTTTTTGCAGCAAGAATGAAAGTAAATGCACAGCAGCAGTGTAATACTGTAAGTGGTAACATGCAAAACATTCCTGCTTCTGTCATCCTGCTTTTTATGACACTGCTCATCAGCACAACAACTGGACCTCTGCAGTGATACTGTGTTATTCTGTTCAACCAGCCACACCTCTACAGGACAGAATGTATAAGAAAATACATATATTATATTATATGCAGAACTGTACAAGAAAGACTATTCACTTAAGCATTAACAGCATATGGAAATAATGTTTAAGGGACATTAAAATGGAGCTGTAGCATTTTTCAAGTTTAATAAAAGACTATAATTAAAGCATAACATAAATAATTTTGTTCTAACTGCTTAATGAAAATACCGCATTTTTTTTTTAATGGGGAGCACGGAGTCTAGGCTCACAATCAGCATGCAGATACCTGATTGCTGGACACTGAGTTAAAATAATTAAGATTGCATACATTGCTGTGCTTTCTTCATCTGCAGCATGTCTTTTCTCTTTTCAACAGCTCTTCTCCACCCAGCCTTGTTTTCTTGGGGATGAGGAAAAAGTGATCTTAGAATTGGTGGACCCATTATTACTTTAAAGGGACAACATAATACGTTCAGGAAGCAAAGAGAAGACACAGCTAGAATTTGAGGGTCACAGCACTGGGCTCTAATACTTTCTCCAAAGCAGACATGTCCTTCCAACTAGCTCTGAGGGAATCAACATGCAATCTATCACTTTAAGGAAGTGGATAAAAGGAGGAAAGGTGAGAGCCACACTTTTCAAAGCCAGTACAATTTTTCTTAAATATTCAACATGTCACGTTAGTGAGCAAGAAAATACATGAAAAATAAAAAAAAGCACAATTAAATAGGCCCTCCACAAACAACTTCCAAGTGCCTAATTCAGTTGCAAAGGCAGGAACTTTAATGTGGGCATGGGCTTTATACACAACCTGTATCTTTTCCTTTTTTTCTTTTCTTAGTCATAAACAATTAAAAAAAAACTTTTAAAAAGGAGCAGGTGATATCTTGGGATTTTTTTATTTTTTTTTTTAAGAAAGAAATTATATGGTGCTGAGTGTTACAGAGAACATGATGGCTGTATAAGGAGTGCAATAAGATGAGGCAGACTGCTTTGAATTTACAGGTCACTTGTACCATAAATGAAACATGAATACAGCCTAATTAACCTGATTAGAGCTATTGCTTCTACACTGCAATTGTCTTTACATAACACATTCTGCTTGAGTAACAGGGTCTTGTTATCTCCTGTTGTACTGCTGCTGATAGCTCTGCACTCTCCTGGTTCTGTATTCACATTGCTGAATTATGGTGCGGTGGTGGCATTTCCATCCTGCTAATATATAGCTTAATGACAGAGCAGGGATTAGCAAAAGATCTGCCAAGCAACCATAGCAGGTTAAAATAGATATAATCAGTTGGCTAAGCTAGAGTGATTTTTAGCCTTCAGTTTTCCTCATTTCTAAAGATGAAGAAACCTTACTTCAAAATATATTAAAAAATAATTCACACCTGTTTCATAACATTCATCCTTGATTTTTTTCCTCAAAATATTCAGCATTTGTTATTGTAACATAGCCTCCAAGATAATGTTTATTATTTTCTCTAGAGACTCTGAGCATTGTCTTATGAATAAGAATGTGTTCTGGGTTGGGTTAAAATGTCATATGCTGATCCTAGTACATTCACAAAGGGATTTTGTTACATTAGTTTGCTTTAAAAGGGGTTGGTTTTGTTTTTTTTTACCTCCATTCCTTTTACTAGGAAGAAACAAACAGGCCCAATTCCCTCCTGTTATCCCAGTTTGATGCTAGCACACTCCTAATGGAGTGATAACTGTGGGATTTGGAAACAAGGTTTGAAAAATGAAAGAGGTAGGAATGCTATCTTTATTTTGTCTAGCTTTCAGTGTATGAATGGTTTGAAAGATGCTATTGGTCTAGATTTGTAGTATAGCTGAGAATTTTATTTTGGTATATTTTAGTTAATATACGTTGTTAAACCAAAGCCACATCTTTGTGCATTTTGATGGAATAGTCAGTGGGATTATTCTTGACACCTAACATGGATTTGCCTTTCATTTCCAGAGAAAAAAATGAAACTGAGAAAAAGACTAGCATGGAATTAAACTCTGACATTCTCAATCTGAAAACAGATTGTTATGGTATACCTCAGCTATCCTAAATGCTCAAAGGGTTTTTTTTTTCATATATGGAAAACACATTCTGAAGCCTAACAGCCCACTACTGTCACTATCGTCATTGGCTCGTCAGCCAGCATACTGATTAAGTGGCTTCAGGATTTCCACCCCCACCCTCACCACCCCAATGCAGTATATACTATTTCCCAAGTCATTCAATATGGTTAAATGTTAGACAATTTGCCATCTGAGATCTGAGTCATGTCATATTTGAGGACTGCTGTTTGCTATGCAATTCTATTGCACTAAAGATAACTTCTTCAAGTTTATCTTAACCCTAACTTAGACTTCATGGTCACAGAGTGATTAGCTGCTGTGGCATTTGTACTAACAGGAAATCAGAAGGCCCTGAAATTTAGCCTTGTCATGCCTCCACCTTGGTCACTTTGGGGATGAAATGGTGATTGCACATATAGGATAACGGAGAGCTCTGTGCACTACATTAAAAGTTCACCTACAAACTGAGGTACTGCTTGTAATTGCATGCTTAGTTAGATCTATCACGGCAAGTAATGCGTCCAGATAGAAAAATACTTGTGTAACGTTAGTTCCAATGTACTCTGACTGTATAAAATGTGAGCGCTGCTGCAGGGAGGTGAGGCGATT